ATATTGTGGTTATCAAACTTGGTGTGTGTTTAGAGATGGAGTGTGTTATAATGGAAGATGATTTTTGCCAACGTGGAATACCCTTCATATCTTACATATGCATATACTGTTTTTTGGCCAGTTGTACATATGTATTTGTCACATATGTTACCAACCATAATGATGAAACCATGCAATGCCGCAATGTTACCAACCAATGTCATACTGATTCAACCCACAATCAACAAGAAAACAGGCATTGACACACTTGTACCAGAAAAATGCCAAAATGTTACCAACCAATGTCATACTGATGCAACCCACATTCAACATGAAATTTGACATTAACACACTTGTTTCGGCCAATGTCACAATGTTACCAACCAATGTGACATTGATGCGACTTACATTCAACATGAAATGAGACATTGACACACTTGTGCCATCCAATGCCACAATGTTACCAACCAATGTCTCACTGATGCAACTCACATTCAACATGAAAGAAGACATTGACACACTTGTACTAGTCAATGCCACAATGTTACCAACCAATGTCACCCTGAAGCATCCCCACATTCGACATGAATGCAAACATTGACACACTTGTACCAACCAATGTCACAATGTTATCAACCAATATCACACTGATGCAACTCACATTCAACATGAAGCAGACATTGACACACTTGTACCAGTCAGTGTCACAATGTTATCAACCAATGTCACACTGATGTAACTCGCATTCAACATGATAAACACACACTGATAAATTGCTTCCAGCCAAACGTCACCCTCACACAAACCAATGTCATCAAAAGATACTTATACAAGCAATGACACACTGGTATCATCAAAATTTTTACACTGCTGCAAAATAAACATAATACTGCTATCAGTCAATTACATAATGTCACACTGATATAAAATAAATATCAATGTAACAAGTCAATGTCACACTGTTACATATCAGACTAACAAAGTGACAAAGTAATGTCATACTGTTCTAATCCAAAGTTGCACTGTTACAATCCAAACGCACATTGCTACAACACAAAGTCACATAAGTACTAACAAAGTCAAATATTATAATCAAATTAATAGTAGTACATCAAAGTCCCAAGTACATTGTTCACTAATCACATTTACACTTTAAATGTGTAATAACAATTTGAAGAACTAATCATGTGCCCCCAAATTTTTCTTTCAATTTTTGTTTCATTTTGAAATCGTCTTTTGTCCAAGAATTTTGATGATTCATAAACATTGACAGCATTTCACTTCGAAAGTCTTTAATTTGTCTTTGTATTAGATTATCTTCTACGTCTTCTCCTGTTGTCAATTGTTTCATAATGTAGCAAACGTACATACCACAGTCGACCCTAACATATAGTTGAAATTAGTTTTGTTTTTACAATATTTGAGCAGTTGCCTAATAAATAAATAAATGATACTTACGTGTTTGATTTCTGTTGTGGACTTTTCTCACATGATATCATTGGTCTGACCATGTCTTGTGTGTCGAGGAAATTGTCACTGTCGGACATCAATTCTTTAACCTTGTTTTCCACATAATTTTTCTGTTATTACATGCAATTAATAAGTTATGCACATGTTGAATATTATATTAAAAGTTCTGTTGAGTTTAGATATTGGTTTACCAAAATGATAGCATCTTGAAAGTATGGGTCTCTGCCACCTTTTGTCCTTAGACGTAACGAGTTGTAGTGTATCCAAATTCCTTCATCAGTGTCTAGCACAAGTAAGGTCCAATGGTCTGGAACTTCATTTTTACTATTACCATTTGGGTTCATTGGGAAGATAATATAACGTGTCTCCACACTAGGCAGCAGATGCTTATCAATTTCTTTTTTTCTAGCTTCTTCCATATTGGGGGCACGTACAAGTGTCTACATATTATTACAGGAATGATTAAGATATGAATATTTTATCAAAAACTCACATATTTATAGCAGTTGAATTTTTTACCCAACATAGGCTGTTAATGAATACACTCCGTCTACTGAAAGTGGATCATTCATTGCATTTGTTGAAATCTAACAGCATATCTCCCCATGTGTCTATTACTTGTGTTAAAATATTTTTTTATTAATAAACATACACAAAAGTACACGATCATTTACTGCATTTTCAAAACATAAATATATACAGTGTTGAATAGTTCAAGTCCTCCCATAAGCTTCAATGCATCTTCGACATCAATGTAACTTTCATACCCAATTTCGAACTATATTTTTTCCCTGCAATATAATGCAAGTACAATCGTACAACATTAGCCCCTTGGCCTCGCTGATTTTTGAATTTTTTTTACGGATTTGCTGACTTTCGAATTGGATTTTTATATATGGTGCGAAAATGACACAATTTAATCTGACATAATACTGTATTTAAAAAAAAATTCTAACATAATACATTGCCCTCATTTAATTTTTTTAGAATTCATAAATGACCCTATTTTTTTTCTCTTTTAGGGTCCGTTTGTTGAACAAGATAATGCTAGAAAATACAAGAAAGAGAAATTTTTAATATTTTATATGTTTTTGTTTAACATGAAATAGAAAATAATAGAAAAAATAGTACATTTTTAAAATAGTACATGTTAATACATACTGTCGCAGAGTCCCAGAAGTGAATATCTCAGTAATGAAGTTGATATTCTCTTTGTTTGGGTCAACCCATGAGCTGTAAAATTTGATAATGTTCTTGTGTTTAAGAGTTTTCAGCAAATGCACTTCAGAATATAGCCTCTCCAAGTCTTCAGAGTTCCTTAGCAGATCCACAACCTTAACTTGATTCCAAGCTACTTCAATGCCTTCCAATTCGTCGAATGCCCTATATCTATATCCCCCCAACTGGGTCAAGGATGCAAAGTTAATTCTACACACAATTGCATGTGAATTACAATGCTTCACCAAGAAAAGAAAAAGAAAAAAATACCAACGAAGTTTAAAATCTCGAAAGGATACACTTTTTTAAAAGCCCCCTTTCCTAGAACTTCTTTGTACTGCATGTTGCATCACAATAAACCCAATATTCAGAACAAAACCAATAGAAATCAATGCAAATAGTAATCTGTCTAAACAGTAACGATGATACAACACTAAATGGTTTCAGACATAAAACAAAGTAAGTAAATATCTTCAAGCATCAATAAAGGAGGAAATAGAGTTTTTAATACAATGTTTCTAAATAAGCATTTCTATACACTGACCCGCCCATATCGACCAGAGGGATCGACCTCAACGAAATCAGCATCAGAATCGTCCGGGTCTTGTTCGGACGAAGAAGACTCTTGAGGCATTCTCCGATTCAAAAAGAATTCATAAGAACCCTAGTTCTGGACGTAAGCGAATTATCAGATCGAATTCCGGTTCAAATTATCTTTAATTTATGTCTGATGACCGAATTCTGACCTAAAACAGCGCAGAACCGCAACGTCACAGTAGATTAACAGAGGAAAATCAAAATAATACAAGATGAAAGATGTATATTTGTGCAAATATAAATCAACGGATTAAACTTCATATGTCAACGGATTCAATTTCAAGAGAAAGAGAGAAGAAACGTGTGAGCGAAGGATGGTGTGCCCGGAAGGCGTAAATGTCAAAGCGAATTAGCTACATGACAGTGACTGACTGACTGACTGACTCCATCTCTCTCGCTCTCTCTCTCACAAAAATCCTGGTTTTGTTGCATCGAAAGGTCTAATTTGGGTGCATATTAAAGGTCAACTGTGGGGAAATTGGGATATTTATAATGTTTGAAATTATAACGACATTTGACTCAGTTTTTTATTTAAATCTAAGTTAATATTTAATTAAAAAACCTAATTTTATACATATATTTTTCAATCTCATCATACCCAAATCTTTTAACTTGTCAACCGCGTCCCATTACAATGCTCCCGAGCTATTCAACCCCTCCGAGTCCCTCAAAAGTCTGCCATCCATAGGGACGGAACCGTTGGAAAGAATATTCATAGAAAATATCACGTTAATATTATTATATAGTATAATTAATTAATAATATATAAATAAATAAATTTCATACAAATTAATAACTATGTAATTAAATAACTATCTACTCTTCTTCCATATAAATCAATAATAACTGATATTCACTTTATTTATTTAAAATTTTATTTTTAGTTGATAATATCAAGTTATTTATGCTTACATAGTATCATTGTATTGAATATTCTCCCCTCTTAGCCCCTTGGCCTCGCTGATTTTTAAATTTTTTTTACGGATTTGCCGACTTTCGAATTGGATTTTTATATATGGTGCGAAAATAACACAATTTAATCTGACATAATATTGTATTTAAAAAAAAATTCTAACATAATACATTGCCCTCATTTAATTTTTTTAGAATTCATAAATGACCCTATTTTTTTCTCTTTTAGGGTCCGTTTGTTGAACAAGATAATGCTAGAAAATACAAGAAAGAGAAATTTTTAATATTTTATATGTTTTTGTTTAACATGAAATAAAAAATAATAGAAAAAATAATTTTCTTCCATAGACATTTTCTCACATCTAACTAACTTTTTTTTTAGCAAAAAAATACAAAGAAAAACAAGAAAATTGTGTCCAATAATCAAACTTCCCATTTTACCCTTATTTTTCTTAAAATATTCAATTAATTATTAATTTTAAATTTTTTTATACAAATTAGGCTAACCATATAACTTTCTCTAGATAAGGTTCAATTCGATTCTTGTCCTTGAATTAAGTTAGGAGCCAATTTTTTAAAAAAATTTGAATAATAAAAAATATTTTTTCCTTTTTAGATCATGTTAAAATAATTAAAATTAATTTAGACAATTAATAAAAAATTCTTATAACTTTCATTTCTTTCAAACAATGAAATAAAATTATTTTAAATTTTTCTTAAAAAATTTTCAAACTAACTAAATGTATATATAAAAATATATTTTCTTTTACTTCACTTTCTATCTCTTTCACTTTCTATCATCTTTTTTTTGCCAACCAAACGGATAGGACATGATAAATTATTTATTTATGTTTTGGACCCCCTCAATTAGAAACATTGCTCCGCCCTTGGCCAACCCACAACTCTCACCAATTGAGTCAGACTGGGTACTTCTGACTTTCCTGATGTACTGGCCAGAGCCTCTTACACTAGGACACCCATGGGTTCAGATGGTGCTTGACTATGCTTAAATACAATTATGCTCATTACTCAAATACAATCTGCAATAGTCACGACTCTTTTCTTTTAAAAACTGGCTTAAAAGTCTCAAGTGCTTTGAAGAAGTTTGTAAAAAGCATGTTCATACTATAACAACGCAGTCACCTCGCCAAGCATTCCACTTTGAGTCTTGCCTCTTCCACCCTTGACACAGTAAAGCAATTCAAAAAGGATAATTAGGTCAGATCTGATTCGACGAATAATAAAAAAAAGGACTAAGCTCTGGCAAGATTCAACCCCACCATCTTTCTCAAGGAACACATCTCTTTCAATTCCACCAGCTACATGGGTGGTCAATGTTTCTTCAGTGCATTCATTTTATCCCTGAGATAGTAAAGCTTGGCCCTCCTCACTTTTTTCTTGTCCAGCACCTTTATCTCCTTTATATTAGGTGAGTACCTGTCATCAGCCACTCATTTAGCCACTATCCATGTCACTCTTTCACGAAAATAGATAATGAGAACACTTGATAAGTACAATGCTAGAAAGTAAATATTTGTAAGGATGAAAAAGGCATATTACAAGGAAAAGGTTACTCGCTATCCTTCAAATTTGGGGAGAGTCAACCAGGAAGAAACAATAACTTAGAAGAACAGTATGTAACAAACCTTTAACAGCCAATTGTATTGTCCAAGCGAAATAACAGCAAAATAGGTAAGAAGCAACATAATTCTATCCCAACCATCTGATGTCAAATTATGGATCAACTTATAATCCATGCAAAGGCTAGGCCAGTTGATGGCGGGGTACACCATGGGCAATGGACGGATACTATGACAGGTAGGAAGCAAAACCATGCTATTGAAGCAGTTTCCTTTGACTAGGACAGAAGATCCAATCACAATTTCCCTTGATCACAAGTAACTCTACAGGATAAAATTTCAGACAGACAACCAGGAATAGGAAATCACACAACACACACATCTGAGCCAGCTCACTAGTCCAACCCAGAAGAAGAAGGAGAAAGGTATTCTAGTAGACACTTGGGGATAAATACATAATTGCGAGGGGTTCAAAAAGAATTGTTAAAAGTAATTAATATTTTTCCTCCAAGTGGATAATTGAATATTTAACAAATAACTCCCTTAAAGAGTATTCAGTTTTACATAACTCAAAGATTTTCTAATCATTTTCGTGCTCAGTTTTACACCATAGATAGTTCAAAGATTCTCTAATCATTTTTTGTGCTTTTATCATTCAAGTGAAGGTTCTTCACTTATTATATCTCATCAAACTTGAGGTAATTGGATCAAGAATGAGAAACTGCACTATGCATTGCATCCATCACAACCAGTTTAGAATTTACTTTTGCCCTTTTCATTGGAGGGAAGGGGCGCCTGATATTAGTTATTCAATACACCATATATCAAAAGGCCAAATTAGTCTAAACAAAAATCAACCTATTCTTGTTCACTTACAGAGGAAAGAGAGATTCAACCCCAACTCCAGCTACTAGTCTTCTTAGTCTAAATGTGGTATTCAGACCAGCATTGCGCCTTGCTATAACAATGCCTTTTAAGATTGAAACACGTCTCTTGTTCTCAGGAACTTCCTGTCATTATGATAACAGAACAAACTAATGACCACCTCTTACCAGAGCCCCAACATCCTATTAGCAAATCTAATCACAAGTTTATGATGATGAAGACAATAATGACAACAAAAATAAGAAAGAACAAAAACAAGGAGAAGAAAGAAATTCTCTACCACTTTCAGCTGGATGATGTAACCGGGCCTTATATCAGGTATCTCTCTTTTTTCCCTCACTTCCTCCACTGCTTCCTTATCAAGAATCTGCAACGTGTATAAAATCTTAGCGCCAAAATAGTCCTCAATGAAGATCAGGTCTTGTTTATCTACTCCATAAGAGCAATAAATTAAAAAAGGCAAATGAATAATTGCATGCCTCCATTATGTGCCTTGCTGTTTTATCGAGCCGTTTAAATTTGATGCGTGGTGCTACATCAGATATGGAAGTGGAAGCATCTTGAGACATGGATTTGCCTCCTTCGCCCATTGTTGAGATGCACCTACTAGGAGAATTTGGAACCATTGTTGCCAATTGAAACAAAGCAGGCCGAGGAACTCCATTACACAGCAGTACTGAAGCTACACCATTATTCTTAGACAATGTCGACAACTCTGTTTGGATGCCCATTTTTTTGAGCTGAATAAGACCACCAGTTCGTGATTTAATTTTACGAACAAACAGAAACTTGATTCAACATCTATATGTAGCGTCACCATAGTGCAATGATGACACACACAATTCGAGAAATGGTATAGTTCTCCAAATGAAGGAAAGAACGTAAATGTCAAAAACATTATGGCCAAAGTCTATCTTCACAATGACAATCAGCTTCCCTCACTTGTGCGAACCGTATGATGCATTCAGTTCTACTGAACATGGTGCTTTTAGATTGTGATAATTGCACACTTACACTGAAACATAAATAACTGAAGAATTTTTTCAGTGCCTCTTAAGAAATATCTACATCTCCATTTATAAGGACAAATAAAACAATCCCCTTTTGAGGACACCCACCAACCAGAACTTTATAGAAGTTACAAGAAATGGTTGAAGTTTACATTATCAGAGAATGGATCTTGAACAACAAAGGACCCAACGGATTCTAACGATTTTGAACAACACTTTAAGGTAATATTACTTCTGTTCATTCCCTGTGATTTTTTGCTCTCAATCTGGATTTTCTTTCTTTGAATTGTTACTAGTCTACAATTTTTTTTGGATAAGTAATCAATATCGGTACTAATCACAGCAAAAACTAGTTTGGCATGTACTTTCCCAGAGAACTACGTTGGCATGTTCTCCTTGCACATGGATAGCTGTAAAGCTTTCACACATCAGTTTCCCTTCATAGTTTTTTAGCTCCAATTTTATTGTTTTCCTAATCACTTCATAAAGTGAAAACCTCATCTTCAATACCTCTCCTGCCAGCTCACCTCAATATCTTCATATCCTTTCTTAGCAAATGTCCATTGGTGTGTAAAGATGATGACAATAGACAAGTTGGTTTTAGCCAAGGTGACCATACACATCGGTTATAGCTTGTACGCCTAAGAATGAGCCATGTATGTTCTTGGCTCATTCGACAAGAAACTTCAAATGCTTTTTTACCAAATCACTTCTAAAACGGAATAAATGCTCACCCTATAACTTATCTAGCCAGTCCCCTGTATAAGTTCTGTTTTCTTGCAGAAGACAAGTGTTGCACCTTCAACCAATAGTGGATTGACAACAGAAATAAGCACAACTACCTAGCATGAGTGGGTAATATAGTATGGCAAAGAGACCATCCTCTTGTGGCAATAAGAAAAAAAGGAACAACAAAAAGTGCATGATGTTGCAGGCACTGGCGAAGAGTGTTTATATCAATGTTATACATAAAAGGCCAAACAGCATATATAGATTATTCTAATGAGAAAAGATATTCATGAGAATCCTAATGAAATTACCAAAAGAGATATGAAGGAATTCTGAAGTCACCAAGAGAAAATGGAAGAAATTAAGTATCTTTTCCCTATGAAAGGAAGGAAAGGTAAGGTTGCCCGTGCAGTGACAAATAGTCCTCAAATTGTTCGCCTAGTGTCGATTCAGGTTACGGACATAGTGGTTTGTGGGATTATCAAGAGGAAATCAGTGGCACACTCTCAAAGGAAGGCAAACTCAATACGGCATGCAGACGTTATCAACTGTAACATTTAGATGAGCACATGGCAAAAGAAAGAAAATGGTTGAAAGTCTAATAACAGAGTGGAATCAGAACATTAGAGCTAGAACTTGTGAAACCATTAAAAGACAAAAGTAAACTTAGGTGTTAAGAACCCATTCATATCAATTTTAACCTCCTGAAAGCCAGCCATGAGTACATGTAATTGGAGTCAACCTCATGTCCCTACCACCTACGCATTATTAAGTTCCCCACCACCCTAATATCATCATCTTCTTCTACTAAGCCTCAATAATTTGTTTCCAACCACAAACCATGTCCTCCTTTTCTAATCCCTAAGAAATAAAAATGGAATAACACAATTCATCATACTATAAATTTACCCTTCTTTAAACGTGATTAAAAACTATCATTCTACCACAAATTTCTTAAGAAAGAACCATATGTCCAGCAACTTCATTCTGCATCCACATTCCATTTTTTGTACACTGTCTAGTGCTTACCACTGCCCGGATGAAGCTTAATTCCTAGTATTGTTCAATATCCATGAACCGAGAAAGAACAAAGTATACTAAAAAAGCACAATTTGCAAAATATGTCAAAAATCAAAATAGAGAATACAATAAATCATACACATACCAATGCCAATCCCGAGCAAGAAGCAAACTTGGGGAGTAACGGTGACAAGTATTCCGCCAAATAACTCGTCGAATACCCATAGAAGTTGTTAGCAGCTGCCACTCCATTCGAAGCAAAAAAATTCGATTCCAAGGAGCTCAATCCACGACCACTGCTTATCAGAATTGCCCTAGTTAAATTAAAATCAACAACCTTTGAGGTGCTGAAAGTGTGCCTAGCAACCAATCGAACTCTCCCACACAACGATTGCATTTCTCAACATAAAATCTACATTTACAAAAAAAAAAAAATTACTATTTCAAGTTGTTGAAGTAGTTTAAAAAATGCACAAATCCAAGCAGAAATGAAGCCGAAATTGGTACGTCTGAAACAATTCCGTGATTTGATTCAACACTAAATAGCTCCTAACATAAATCTACGTATGTATATATATGAGCATCATCAATATGTGTGTGTGTGTAGGGTTGAGGAGAGAGAAGAGCAGCTGAATGTAAGTGGTCGGCGTCTATTACCGTCGGGAATCGACGGTCTTCTTGGACTTCGACGACTGAAACCTAAACCCTACTCCGGCTCGCGGCTTGGGAGGCAGCAGAGGTTTATGCTAATTAACGTCTATGCGCGTTAGACCAACTCCAAAGATACTAACTATTTTAGCTACTTAAAATAATATTTTTTTATTATATTATTTATTTTGAAGAGTAATTTTTACTAATTCATTCTAATAATACTCTCTATTTTAATTAATTATTAATTCATAATTACACGTTACCCATATACAGACACAAATGATCAAAAAAATCCATTAGAAAATCAATTTTTTACCACGACTTGAATCAAACTCACAAATCCGTTTGAAGAAAAACATAACAAACTAGAGAATTTTTCTATCAAATTTGCTATCCGCGTCTGGATCCATAGAATGGCTAATTTCAGACCATTTTTTCTGGGTTGTCTTCTCTCTACCCAACACGGATAGAACGAAGCAAAGAGAGAGATAGGTAGAGTTTCAGTCGATTTTGGGGTGGATTTTTTTGTGGGTTTTTCGTTGATTTTTCAGTGGGATTTTTTGGATTTTTGGTTGGAATTTTTTGGGGGTTTTTCTGTGGGAACAGAGATAGATGAGTGGGGTTTCAGTAGATTTTTGGGTGGGATTTCATAGGTTTTTCAGTGGAATTTTTGATTTTTTTGTGGGTTTTCCAATGGGAACAGAGAGAGAGAGATTGGGTATGTATATAGGATTTCCGATGAGTGAAGATGGAGAAAGATAGAGAGACAGAGAGAGATGTAGAGAGAGGAGAGAGCATACCTTTGGTGCTTGATGAAGACGATGACTGTGAAGACAACCAAACAAACTGATTAGTTATGTGGAGTGGAAAACTTGGTGTAAAAATCAACTAGCGAGCTCCTTTTGCCTCACCAGAAACAGTTAGGAAAATGAGGTTATGAGAAATAGTTAGGGAGATAACAAGGCTGTTGGAGGCGAATTTAGGAAGAAACTCTTTAAAATAGCTAACAAAGGCCTTTTGAAGTGCCTATTGTAGTTGCTCTAAGTACCCCTGCTGATTCGCTGATATTCTATCCTTGTAATTTTTCTTTCCCCCTTTTCTTATGAAGTTTTTTTATAGTTTATAGTTATGTTTGGTGTATTTTAAATTGTGGATGTTGCAAAGTATTTAGTTTTCAAACACTTGTGACATTATTTGCTGGACTTAAACTAACGTAAGATTTTAAAATTGTGACAGTTCAAAAGATTGAAACAAAGTGTAAAATTATTTCTAAATTTTTTTCTCCACCTTGAAAATCAAGGATTTAAATAAGTTTTTAAATAGCAAGTAAATGAACTAAAAGTTTGAAATAACTTGAAAAAAATATAGTAACGTAAGCGACATAGAGGAATTTCTGAATTAACTACTATGCTTGACATAAACCATAAAAGAGATTACTGGAGTGACAATTATAATGTAAACTAAATAAATTAAACTTAAACAAGGCAGAGGCAGGTTCTGGTATACTGTGTGTATCTGTGTGATCAAGAGGCCCATACTCTGTAGTTTAGTCCTTTGTATTTATAGGTAGTAGGAGTTAACTGTTGGTTATCTTTTATGGCCACCAGACCAATAATCATGACCTTTATTTCTAACGTCATCTATCGTATATCGAATTGACTATAACAATCGGTTCATGATGTCACATTTTATTATCCAAGATCCATAGAGATCATTTTTCTCTTATCTGTCTTATCTTTCTTGATCGTAGACCCTTGTCACATGTCATCCTTAAATTTTTATTATTTGGGTGTAAACAAGCCATGATGGCTCAATCCTAAAAGAAAATATATAAGACTACACCAGCTTTTGTGTGTACTCCAAAAATGAGATATCTACTCGTTCCTTTTCAGCGTCATTTTCTTTGTAACACTGCTCACAAACTCAATTAGCTTTAAAATTCGAAAATGTTGCATCCACATACATGGCTTCTATTGTTGCCACCACACTAATTTGACTCACTGATCTAACAAGCAAGTTGGTTGATAAGGCTAGAGCAATTCCTTTTGAGTTGAGGCTTAGATCAAGAAAGAGCAATGGACCTTAATGTTTGCTAGCCGTATGCGATACCTTATTTGACGATAATAAGTCAAGAAAAAACGAAAATATATGATCACTGCATTCATCTCTCTCTCTCTCTCTCTCTCTCTCCATATTTGCGTATGCGGGTGTGTGGTTACATATCTTTTTCTCTGAGTATTTATATGGCTATACAAATGCTGATAATTTGATCAGCAAACCAGTTGTGAAGTACTGATGAAGGGGTAAAAGAGCTACCATGTTGTAAGCTAATGATGTGAAATAAAAGAGCCTCCATTTTGTGGACACAAATTAAAAGCCTTTTCAATCAGTAGCAACCATACCAATTGTGATAACGGTTGATATTTTTTTTCTTTTTATTCCACAAGGACTATCATAGTTCAATGAAACAGTAGTAACACTAAAAATAGGGACATGCACATAAACCTTACATAAACTGCAGTTGATATTATGGATGGCCTGATTCAGCTCTTATCATTATTCTTTGATACAGAAATAATATAGGATAAGATTGCCAGACAGTACTCTTTCTCTTTCAAAACATCCAGAAACTCTGAATCTATATGAACAATGGAGGGTGACATGCAAACCTTGGCTTACAACTTAAAATACATTTAGGGTATACATTCACCATAATGTACCAACCCCAGATCAAATTCATATTTTTCATTATTTTCCGAATCCAAACCACTTTGCCAAGAAAAATGTATTCTTTCCACGAGAGGCATCAGCTGGCTGGGCTGGTGCTGCTGCCGGAGCTTGCGTTGGAAGTGATTTAGGTTTAGTTGCTACAAGAAAAATGGTGTTAGAATCAGCCAAGTGGCCCTTGCTTCCAAGAAATGATGAGTTACTATAACTATCATGCGAGTGAAAAGTCGAAGATCAGTGTTTTCCGATTTGCTTGTAAAAACCTGTAAGACCTTTTGAGGACATTGGATCAAGAATAATTGCCACTTCATATTCTATTCAAGCCAAAACAGATTACTTCCAGTAAGTTCATTGATTAAGCTTCAAATTTCAGAGGACCATGTTGGGGCCTGGGTGTATAGACGCTTTCATGCCAAGTAGTGTGCATGTACATTCAATTGTCATAGAGTTTCACATCTAAGTCTGTATATAATGCAAGGACATTTTAACTATTCCTCCTCCCCACCATCCCTCCCCAGCTCCCAAACCACCCACTTCTCTTCCAAGCTTGTTGTCTCATGTAAGGGCACAAACGAACAAACAAACTCCATTAGTATATTTGTGCGGGCTTGATCCTGCACGATATATAAAATATTGGGAACAGATCTCTCCCCTGGTGAACTTTGGGTGAGCCGGTTGAGTGGCCAAACACACTACTCGGAACAGCCTACAAGGAACGGTGGCAACCTGGAACGGCAAAGGAAGATCCTGGGAAAGGAAGAACGATCCTGTACGTGCGAAAGATATTTCCTGGAACAAAGGAGAACGAGTTAGAAGGGCGCCGGAGTGTTTTCCGGCGTATCCCCTCCGACGGTCTAGTCAGTCTTTGAATGAGAGAGAGGAAGGAGAAAACACTGAGGAAAAATGTATTGTAGTAGTGAGTTTGTGATTGCATACCCGCTTTGTTTTTGGGAGGGGTATTTATACCTTAGAAGATCATGATTGCTGTCAGTGTGGTCAGTAGGTGATCATCAGGCACAGGTAGCGTGTGTAATCATTTGATGAGAAATGTCTTCTCTAATTGACTGCTCGGGGTCCCGAGCAATCAATGGTGAGTTGTCGGGACGCCGATGGTACAATATGCTCCTTTCGGGAAGGATGCAATAAATGCTCTGTAATAGGAGCATTTATTGCCTTTCATATCCGAACCTTACCGCATTAAATGCGGTCTCGTCAACAGAAGGGTGTAATTAATTGTTTGCTTTCCAAAGTCGCGTGCCAGCAGCGGCATGCGGTTTGTCTGCTTCGGATGTGACATTATTTGCCACGCGCCCATCCCTTATTGGCTGTTACGTCGGTATTCCAGCACGTTCTGACATTACTTGTGTAAGAAGAGGTCATGATGAATAATCCATACTGGCATAGGCTGATGTCCAGTTTGTCAGTAGCTTTATCCGGGAGTAGAGGAAGCGTCCAGGATGGAGTGACCCTCGGCGCCGAGGAAAGGTTCACCTCGGGGGACCATGGGGTGGTGTGTTCCCGAGGTACATGGCGACCGAGGACACATGTCATTGTATAATGTACCGAATATGTGATCCTATATGAGTGGTACCTCGGGGGAGAGGACGCTTTTGCCGATGGTGCTTGAACCCGAGCAACATTGTTCTAGAAACCCCCGAGGACACGTGTCTTCATCATAGGCTTTTTCAGAAGAGTCCCATCAATATTCATCCTAACACAGCCATCTTCCTTCATGCTTCTTGAATTTTCAGTCCAATCCTTTTTTCTGATGTGTGCATATTAGGGCATATGTTAATGGGAAAGCGTGGAGGGGGTGCATATAGCTAGGTATCAGTTGGTTTTACAAAGTGACTCTGCAGATATTAAACTCGAATGTGTTCCCAAATATATATTCTCTCTTTCAAAATCTCTAACAAACCAATGCTTCAATATGCAGCATAATCAGAAACCGAAAAAGAAGAAAAAGTGTTTTGTTGAGAATACTCAAACGGGAGAGATAAGCAGCATGTCTCAGACAGCAGACTATGAAATGGTCATTGCCAAAAAATCAATTTAAAAAATTACGAAATGCTTAAAGCTTCAATGTTTTATTTTAATTGGCTATAAAAATAATTCCCTGCTGCATAATGGTAATTGGCCATGTGAAAAAATTTCATCCCTGAGTGTTCGATAATTGCAGTGTAAGGATATAAAATATGACATGATACCTGACTTTGGTGACGCTGTGTTAACCCTTGCAGTTTTAAAATCATTAGATTTTTTCTCTGCATTTTGTACAATTGGTTCTTGGTGAGACTCTCTCTCAGAAATCCTGTGTTCTACTGGTGTTCCACTATCTCTGGTCCCTGTTATCACCAAATAGAAAAATGAGGTTGAAATTGCAGTGTCTATATGCAAATGAAAGGCTTTTACAAATCATATAAATATAGCCAGAATAAATGTGGATTCCAGTTTGTCATAGTACAATTTTTCTTTAAGATTTTCTTGTGCTTTGGAGAGAATATCAAAGTTACAAGAAACAACATGAAAACAATTATGGGCATTTTGCTCGAAATTCTTGATTAATTTTCATCAGTAACACAACTTTTATGTGAGTGCCCTATGCTCCAATGGTTTATGTAAAAAGAAATAAGATTGTCATACATTATTCTATAGACCACCAAAACCGTGTCAACTCAAAAAAGCATTTGGATTGGGCTACAATACTTTGTTCCACATTAGTAGTAGATGGAAACTCTGATTTGGAGGAACCTCAAATGAGAAAGATACTACAAGCCAACTATCATGCACACATTTAACTTGCTTCATCCCAACATTTGCAATTGTTTATCAGACAGTCATTCACTCATAGTACATGGGAAATCAACTATACAGATTCCTTTTTTTTTGAACAAAAAAAAAAGTTCTGCTGTAAAGCCTCAAAATAAACTACAGCTTACTCTCATTAGGAGGCTTCCCATAGTTCTGCCGTAAAGCCTCAAAAAAATTACCATCCCTCTGATCCTGCATCACTGAAAGGACAAGAAAACTGGATGCTTCAATTTCTAATGCATTCTGATAAATAAAAAACCCTGAATTTCATTGATCGTCAAGAGAAGCAGAAAAGCATACACTGATCATAAAGAGCATTTCTGTAATTGGGGTCAGAGCCCACTGATAGCAACTGAACTGCCTCTGTATCCCTAGTCATAGAAAACTTAGCAGATGTGTCCAAATTTTGTGTGTCTAATAGAATACCTGCCAGCTGAAAACTAATTAATGGTGATTACCATGACCTAAAACCATCCCACTACGTTAAAAAAAATTTCTCGCTGATGATACGATTGAGTGGAAAGTGATGGTAAAGAGAACATAAAGAAACAGAACATCAAAGTAGTCAAATGTCACTTACCAGAAGTTTTTTGACGACAGGAATCTGAAGTTGGTCACTTACCAGAAGTTTTTTGATGACAGGAATCTGAAGTTGGTCATAGGCAAGTTCACAGTAATTGTCTGTTAGAATGGTGCACTGAGATCCGACCTGGAGACACAGCAGAAGACTTGTAAATTCCAAATTCCAAATTACCACACTTAAATTACAAATAACAATTTGTTAGATTACACCAACCTCGCCATTGGTTTTGAGGATATCTTCCCCGACCACAAGGATGGTCAACTGATTTGACATAATTTTTGTTTCCAAATCAACCTGATCCCAAATTGCAGTAACAAGGTGAGCGAATTTTCAAGGCATATCCATATGCAACAAGAAGTTTGAATATGGACTAAAAGAGAATGGAAGGCTCTCAGATTTCTGTTTAAAGAACATTCCATGATAAATAAACCTATCTGCCATTCCTAAAATTTATATCATATGAAATCATCTATTTGTGTAAGAACTTAAGCAGTGATGGTAAACTATGGAAGTATAAGAAAACATCAATTTTAAGCTGATGATCCATCATACAACACAAATAACTATCCTAAGCTCTGCCTCAAATTTAAGGAAAAAACAGAATTCAGCCATATCAAGATCGCTCCGATGGTACCTCATCAGAAAAGAGCAACGCGGTAGCATCAACACCAACATGGAGAAAAAGCCACGCTGCCTGCCGCTGCTTCCACATTTTCCCTCTCCTCATATTCATCACAGGCACCACACTCTCATCTCCCTCACCTCCCTCATTGTTTCTCACCCTATTCTCCAGCAACCACGCATAGCATATTGCTGCCACCATTGAACTCGTACCTACATTTTCAACAAGAAGAAGAATATTTTTACTCATTAATCACCAAAATAAAATCAAATTCACAAGACTGAAATTACAACAAAACCCAACTGTTCGACGGTCCGGAGAGAACAATCTTGGCCTTCTCATTGATTTCTCCACTCAAAATCTTCCCAAACTTGATTCTTTGTTCCTTCAAAAACCCATTAAGGTCGCGACCACTTGTGTCTTCCTCCCTAAACCTTTCACCCAAAGTAGGCTTCTGCAAATTCCTATCAGTGGAACACGTCGATGATGACATGGATTTCCGGCGAGCTGACTCCACTAAGTTCCTCGGCGGTGACAGGACTTGACGCTCAGGAACCGAACATGTTGAGGACGATATCGATCTCCGGTTAGCGGATTGGATGAGATGCTTTGGAGGAGAGAGTAATTGGGTGTCTTGCGCGGGAGAGTTAGTTGTGGTGGTTTTGAAAGTTCGTTTGGAGGGAGAGTGGGGTGGGATTGTCTGTGGTTGAGTTGCATTGGTGCCATCTTGGAACCGGGATTTGCGATGGGTAGATTGCCGAGGTGGCGGTAGTGGGACTGTGTGATTTGAGTTGGTGGTGGGAAGATCTGTTGGGTGGGGTTTAGTACGATCCGAGGAGTGAGGTGGTGGGTTGTGATTGGGCAGTTTGAGGATGTTGGAGAACCATTTTTGAACCGCCGATGCAGGGGATATTTCGGCTGGGGGAGGTTGGTCAAAGGATTTGGGGTTGTTAAGGGTCTGTTTGGTTGATTTTGAAAGAATTTCTCCACTGAAGCCTTTATCAACTGCTCTGTTTCTATTTTTCAGTTAAAAAGGGAAGCGGTTAAAAAGTTTTTTTTTTTTTTTTTGGTTTCCGTTACAGAAAAAATTATCGAAAGTTATAATATTATTTTTTTATGATAAAATTACATTTTTAAAAAGAGAAATTACACTTGTTCAAAAGAAGATCATGATTGACCATGGACTTCTCTTGAATAATTGTAACTTTTTTCTTATGAATTGTAATGTAACCGTGAATAACTTTCGATACTGATCACAACCTTCCATAATCAATCATGTCTTTTACAATTTATAACTTACAACTAGCCCACACATGAAGGAAACGTGTTAAAATATGAATATTTAAATTATACAGTAACATAAAAATAAAATGAGTAATTAAAAACAATATTATTGTCAAGTAAACACGCACAATAAACAAACTTAAACTAAATTTTTGAAGTTTTTCAAAATGTTGAAATTAGAATATTTCATGATCAATGAAGTGAAAAATAGTACAAGGAAAAGAATTTGAATAAAGGAGCCTAGCACATGGTCATGCATTTCATTCACTCAATTTTATTTTTGGTCCAATGATCAGGGTATTCGAGCTAATTTACGTATATTTTGACTAATTTTCTCTTCTGTTCGATCAAAGACAAGTGATGCATGCCGGGACTAAAGTATATATTCACTCAATTTTGTTTACCAACAAAAAAGCATACAAGCTTGCATAGAGTTGATAAAAGTATCACTTCATTACCTTCTAGCAGACCTAGAGAGTGGGTCTCTCCGATCAAGATTCGAAGCAGATAATCTGGCTTGAGGTGATGCGAACCTGACAGGCCGAGAAGGCGAATCATTCCGGGAAGGAGATGAATTAGCCACCATGCGCTTGGCTTCCTCCAGCCACTCGTGATTTGATCTGCTATAGACGCTACTCCTCCTACTAGACTCAAAATCTTCTTCTTCTTCCGCGTCCATCAATCCACCAGTCAGGTTATACGCTTTCTTTTCGATGCTTACTGAGCCGAAAAACATGTCATTCATGAAATCAGTAAGGTCCGGAGCTGGCTCAGGTCGATTTGATATCTTAGTTTCTGCTATTTTCTTTTGCAGGCTCACAGAACCTGCGCTTTTGCTTGATAAGTTTTTGCTGAATCTCATCTCCATGGATTCCCAATTCCAGGGTCTTGCACAGTGAGAGAGAGAGAGAGAGAGAGAACTCAGAGAAGAGATTGGTGTTGGACAAGGTAGCTCTTAGCTGAGAACACAAGGGTGGTTGAAATATTAATTTCAGAAGGATTGATGTGGTCAAATGTAGAGAATTATCGAAGAATTTGGCCGGCTTTTGGAGTGTCTTTTTTCATTTTTGTCATTGTATGTGTATTGGCCTTGACGGCTTTGCCGAGTTACTGCAGAAATCAAACCGTATCCAATGTAAAATGTGCCCTCGATTTGTCATAGCAGCCTTGTTTTTTGTGAAGTTCGTATAAATTTTAATGTTTTGTTTAATACAATAAAAAAAATTAAATGATAAAAAAATAGAATAATAGATAAAAGAGTACACTGAAAAAGTTAATGATTTAACTTTTCTTCCATCTCACTAAATTTTATTCCTGTAAAAATAAATAATAAATTAATTATTTATGTTGAAATATATAGGTGTTATTTACCTTTAATTCACATTCGCACAATGAAAGAGTTTTTCGGTTCGAAACCAGAGACACTTTGTTAACAATTAGGGCCTGTTTGTACATGGGTTTAGGTGGGATTAATAGAGTGGTAGTGATCAAAATAGTCTAATGTATCACCTTATTTGTTATTTGGTTGGAGATTTTAAGTCTAAAATTTGAATCTTAGCTCATAACAAGTCCAAAAGTAAAACCCATGTATAAGGATTTCAACAAACCCGAGGAGTGGGTGAGTTTGGGCAATTCCATAGCAAATAGTTTGTGGTATTTGTGATTAATCTGTGAATCTCATGTGTATTTGTGTCACTTACCAAATATCAAATTAAATATGATAAATCAATTATAGGTGAATGTTATGAATACAAGTTGTGAAAATAGCATTTATATACAAGAGAATGAAATTGTATACATCTAATTCTTCCATATTAGATCGCTGCTGAGAGCCTCATGTATTCTTGGACATAATTATCCAAAGGGAATATCCCATCAATTTAAGTTCAAAATCAATGTGGATGGAGGACAAACCAATGGTGCGAAGTGACAAAGCACAGCTGGGAGGTGAGGGAACTGCAAACTTTTCTAATCCCATTCAACAAACCAGAAACCAAATGAAAAAAATTTGAAATTTTTTGGAGTGGTTTAGTGGTTGAGCCTATCTTTTAATAATTCAGAAATTTGAGGTTCAACACTCCTCATATCTTTTAAGGATCAGTCACCATTGTTCCTCAAACTCGAACTACAGTGACCTGTATCCGAACTCAAGCGAATAATTAGCATAAACATGAACACTATATAAAAAGAAAAAGAAACTCAAGAAAATTTGATGAAAGAGAATGAAGTTATTTAGAAAGTTAATGTTAAAAGTACTGACTTTTTTAATGGAGGCTAATGCCATACAGTCTCCCTCTTGCCTAAATGAAATGGGATGAATCAAATTAATAAGCTTATTGATTGATTCAGGGCGCAATAAGCTTATTGATTGATTCACTCAAATGATTGATAAAAGTTCTATCCAATTGAATTGGGTTCTAACTGAATAAAACGTAGAGTCAACGAGTTTAGTCGAACATCGTCACAAAAAAACTCTCAAATAACTTATTACCCAATTTCCATCTATGTGTATTATGGGTGTCTTATATTTCATTCTAGTTTCGTACCCGTCTCGATATGAAACTTTCTCATTGAGATATTTTCCAAGCTTTAGTACATGAAAAAGATTGATTTGTTTATGATATTTGATCTGAGAAGAAGATTGACGGTGCTTTGAAAGTTTGGTTTTATTTGGGGCCTAATCCATTGGGCCTTGGAAGCTTGTTCTTATCAAAATTTGGAACCCAATAACATTAGGAAGTAATTGGTTTGTAAAGAGTATTTATTGACACATTTTCTTTTATATTATTTCAGAAAATTCTCTATCTAATAAAAGGGAAAATTGGAAGGAGGTATACCAAATTAGATTTAATTGTAAAAAAGTACATAGAAAAAATATTGGGTAATTAAGTCCTTAATTTTGATACTTATTTGTATCTAAGTACATTATTTAAATTTTACTGATTTTTTTGTAACATTTTTGCCTTCTATTAATCCATGTGTATTTAATGCACCATATATATATATATATATATATTAACAAATACACATGAATCAAGGTGCATTAAATACGTATTTATATGTATTAACAAACATACATGAATCAAGGTGCATTAAAGATAAGAGGTTTTGAATAAAATGACCCTAAAATAGGCATTTACGTCTTTATAACTTAACTGTATATTTTTTTTTCAAAACATTTTGTTCTATGTACTTTTTGTCAATAAGTCTAATTAGGTGTACCGACTTTCAAAGAATCCATAATAAAACTTTGTCACCAAGTTTCATAATTCGTAGACATGGGCTTCATAGCAACCCATAAATTTAGATGTTATATATTTTTCTGTTTGGTTTTGCTATTTTTTTTTATTACAGTTAGGGGTGTGAAGGATAATTTATGTACACCTCAACTAAACTCTCTCATCATCGGACTGGTCAAAAACATTAAGAAATTCATAAACGATAAATCTTTAATGTTTTGACCTCAAAGGAATTGTCAAGTTTTAAATTTAGTACATTTGAATTTACAGTTCGTCTATAATTAGGTTTCAAGTATCATAGTAATATCATATTTAGTGTTTAGTTTATTGTCAGTAATCTAGTGTGGGAATTAATGTCATTGTCAAATTATTTTAAAAAATAATTTAATTTTAAAAAAAGAGATTTAATTTTAAGAGGATAACTTAAATTTTGAAATGAAGTTAATTTTAAAAAGGACTTTCATTTTGAAATTTTATTCTTTTTATAGAATACTCAATCAAAATAGGTATGAGGTTACCACAATTACAATAGGTTTAGAATACCCAATATTATCGGATAATCTTATTCTCGAGTTAAATTACTGAATAATTAACTTTACAAATATAATAATCTAAGATTTAAAAATAAGAATCTTATTTCTGATCAAAATTACTTTGATCTAAATGAGGTCTTATAATAGATCATAATTCCAAATTTTACCTGATGATGTTCTTAACACGATTAAGCAGTTATGTGAATATAAAGTGTATTAAACAGTTGGATATAGTTCAATCTAAGCTCTAAAACTCTAATGAATAGGATTTGGGAATAAGTGGGTGATTACACAAAGTATTTATAGTAATTAACCAGTTTGTGAGCTCAACTAATTCACTCTTAAGGGAGTCTCTTACTCTAAATGTATTGATTATTGTGTGAAATTTACAGAGAGTGGTTTTGTAAGGCTACAATGACTTGGTTTTTACTTTCGAGGGATTTGCCTCCTATTTATAGTTATTCTTATGCCTTGTTTGGTCTGAGGCGAGATCCTTGCCGCTCTCTTATAACAATTATCCTTATTGCGCAACGAGACTTGTGCTTATTGAGTAGTTGTTGCTACAAAAGGGGATACTCGATGAGATTCAGCTGTCCTTTGCACCGCCTTCCTCGAGATGTGAACACAGAGAGTTGAGATTTGAGGTCGAAATCTATAAATAATATAGATGAGTTAAGCTCCCAACCTGAGTAATATGACCTAGGTTGCCGAACTCAACTTTAAATATTTTTATGGTACCATCACTACCTAAGCAGTAACCTTATTGGAGCTTTAATTCAATGCAATGTTGAGCAACGTGGCCAACTGGCGAACAAAACAATATTGCGTTAATCATCGGTGTTGGTCTGGTAGTTTTTTCTCATATGGTAGATTGACCCCCCCTCCCCCCCAAAAAAAAAAAAAAAAACCACTTGTGCTCTTTCCAATGCATCAAGGGACAAAACTTGTATGGGTGTGTACATGTAGATGGGTCGGATTTAAGTCAATTCGACAGTTTGATTTGTTCAAAGGAATTAATTTAATTTTAGTACAATTTTCTCAAATAATCAGTAATTTCATCATATTTTTTTGCGAATGTAAATGTAAATTTTGGATTGGATTATAATCGGACTAAAAAACAATATATTCAAATCTAAATCCATTAAATATGATGTGAAAAATTTCAAGAAAAAGGTTTATGTGGGTGTGTATGCATATTAAATCACTAGTACAACGGATAATTAATTATTAACAAGTTTATAATATTTCAAAACTGATTTCAATGATATCTGAAGTGATAACGGTGATGCACTGTAAATTTATACATCATCTTGAGTTTAAAATTTGACAACTCTTTAGTGTCAGATCACAAGAGATTTATTCCTCATGAATATTTTAGTCTTAGCGTGGATGTTCTGTTTTTGACTGGATCGGAGAAAGAATTAATCGAAATACGCGTAAACTAATCCGAACAACTTTTTTTAAAAAAAAATTTATTAGAATTAAGTTGGGGATGCCATGTAGTTTAGAAATTCCAACCCATCTACCATATATGTAAATTTAAGCAAAATCAATCAATAAATTAAACTACAGAGGTATCCAAGTCAAAGCCCTTTTTGATATTTGATCCAACCCACCAACCTAATCCCACCCCTTCGACATACTTTACGGCCAACACTACATCTGAACAACGTTACGGTTTTCGATAACTTCAAAGGATCCCTTCATTGTTTTTGAAATTACATTGATGGAGTCGATAGAAGCAATGGTATTACCAATTTACCCATAACAATATTGGAAAAACTTCATCTACACCCCCTTATAAATTATCTTATCTTCAAACAAACCCTTGCATTATCTGAAACTTCATTGCACTCCCTTCTAATTTATATGTTTGTGCTGTTCACATCCCCTGTCGTAAATCAACGTTACTAACAAACTTAAAATTGCCGATGTCATGCAAACTTTTTTTCTTATTACCTATAGTATCTTTCTACTCCTTTGTATCTTTCGGTGTGGTTACGCGTATAAGACCATGACACACACACAGACGACACCACACTAGTGACCCACTTATAACACACCCAACATACAACTACACAAATGAGCCACTTAAGAAGATACCACCTTAATCATTATATATATATATATATATATAGTTGTCAGATTGAATTTTAATTTCATATTTAATTTTTTGGTATGCAATAATATTATGATATTATAATACAAACAATAATTTATAATTTAATAAATTGCTTTAACAAAAAATATAATATATTTAAATGTGTCAACAATCAATAATGAAAATCGTATTAAAAGTGCTCCTCATCTCCTCCGCCCTATTCAATTTGAGAAACGATAGTGTTAATATTTCTTATGTTAGAGGTTATTGTTAACTTTTTTGAACTTTTTCCAATGTAACAAAAAAAAAAAAAAAAATTGACAATGGAACTCCAGTATAAATAATAGAAGAAATGCCTAAAAAAGTTGGGAAGATACCTAAAAAATGACAAATTAAGTACTAAAAAATAAGTAGAATAGATTACTAATTACGTTTGCAATAATTAAAATAAAAATTAATTATTAAATACATAATTTATTATTCAGTTAAATTAAAAGTATAATTTAATTTTTTATTAAAAAATTATTATTTAAATATTCACGTGCAACACAAATCATGCATTGTTAGTATAAGTAAATACACATTTATGTGTGCATTATATCTGGTCAAATATAATATATAGGTAAATATTTAAGTTTCACATGGGCAAATTAGTAAAAGAGTCATTTTTGTTTGGAGATAAACTCTGACAAAGGGGTGTTCATAAAGTTTCAGATAATATAGGGGTATCTTTAGAGATATGGTATTTTAGAGGGCATAGGGATGAAGTTTTCCCTTTTTTTTTTCGAACAATAAAGTTTTCCCTTTTAAAAAACTATAAAGTTAATTCCCCGCAATTGTCAAAAATTACCAGAGTGGTCACTATAAGTTCGCTACGATAAAGATATCCACAAAGATAAATTTTTTTGTTTAAAAAAAAAAATTATCCTCAAAAATGATAAAAACATCCGTAAAAATGACAAATCATCCACAAAAAATAATTTTTTTAGCTATAAAATAACTCACAAAAATTATAAAAATAATCATTAAAATAATAAAAGTTGGAGGTATGATATAAAAATTATTTCTTCTGTACCTTGTCAAGCCAAGTTACAAACACCTCTTCTGCATCTTCAAAAGCTGCCAATTGGGTGAGTACGAGTCGTTGCATTTTACGTTAAAGGACAACCTTGGCCCTTTTGGATCATTTGAGTTCAGAGGACAGACCTCGTCTATGTTGTTGCCACTATATATAAAAAGCAAAGCCAAGAACACATTTAATTCCATCCTCATCATCGTCTGATCAGCCAGTCAGCATTAACACAAACAAACAGTATAGCTTTTAAGCTTCTTTCTTCCACTTCTCCCCTTCTGCTCTGAAAGAATTAGACAACCCATCAATGGAATTTCGTGGTCTTTTTCTTCCTTCACTACTTCTGTTTTCTTGTTTGACGGCCACTTGCTATGGTATGGTCACCTTCTCTTCCCTTCACCGAACTCTTGTGGTCACTGCTTCACCAACACCAGGACAAGGTCTGAACCTCTCTCTCTTATTAGGATTAGAGGTACTTGTGTGTGATTGACCTTACTAATTAGGCATATAACTGCAGATATAGATGCTTTATGCCACTGGTGAACTTTGATAGGCAATTTTCTCTTATTTTAGCAATAACATAGCTTTCCACTATTTGTCTTCTTCTCCAGTTTCCTTACTGTAGAAGATTTATTTGCGTGTTCAAAATGTCCTCGTTTTACGGAAGGATTTTGGTCGACCTGCACGCGTTCGACAGTAACTTTTACCTCTCTTTGATACTTGTAGGAGCGCGTTCGTCCCATATCGAAAGAAAATCGTCTTTTTCCCAGACATATAAGCCTTTCAAATGCTGGTGGGTATCTCCTCCATATAGTGTCAAGGCTTATATGTTGGGGGGGAGACGACTCTCTTTCGATGTGAGACGAACGTGCTCCTATAGGTATCGAAGAGGGGTAAAGACTACTGCTAAATGTGCGCAGGTCAGCCGAAATCCTTCTGTGGGGGAGAACATCCCGAACGCGCGAATAAATCTCCTACTCTTACTAATTGTTGTGGTATAACTAAAATTACTGGATATTAATGTGATTGATTCATTAATCTGACAGATTCTCTAGAGTGTGTGATTCTCTAGTTTTCTGAACGATAGTTTATCATTTATTACGGAAAAATTTATATATAATGAATTTAATTTGATTTTGATAGAGCTCATGTATTTTCTATTTCTCAATTTGATTGTTGTAATTTTCAAATAAATTTTGTGATTGATCCATTAATCCGATAGATTCTCTAGGGTGTATCTTTTTTTTTTTTTCTAAATGATAAATCTTTTATCGTTTATTATTGAAAAACTTATTAATATATAATGAATTTAATTTAATTTTGATAGGGCTCATGTCTTTTCCGTTTCTTATTTCGATTATTTTAATTTCTAAATAAATTTTGTGATTGATTTATTAATCCGACAGATTCTCTAGGGCGATTTTTTTTTTTGAATGATAAATCGTTTATTATTGAAAAACTTACTAATATATAACGAATTTAATTCGATTTTGATAGGACTCACGTCTTTTCCATTTCACAGTTCGATTGTTCTAATTTTCAAATAAATTTTGTGATTGATTCATTAATCCGACAAATTCTCTAGGGTGTATCTTTTTTTTTCTGAATGATAAATTGTTTATCGTTTATTACTGAAAAACTTACTAATACATAATGAATTTAATTCGATTTTGATAGGAATCGTGTCTTTTCCGTTTCTCAGTTCGATTGTTCTAATTTCCAAATAAATTTTTCAGAGATGAATATAGATTCAGATTATTAGGCCTTTGAGACGTTTAATGATGAAATTGGAACTTTCTAATGTGGGGTTTCACAAATTTGGCCTTTTGGTCTAGTTTTCGATGAAAAATGGCAAGAATGACTAGAGGCCTATCTTATTCAATCTATACTTGCAGTTCTGAAAGCTGGAGAGGACCAAATCACTGTAACATGGTCATTCAACCAGACCTTCCAAGCTGGGACAGACTCAACCTACAAGACTGTCGAGCTCAAGCTCTGTTATCCACCCATCAGCCAAGTTGATCGAGCTTGGAGAAAAACTGTGGACGACCTTAAAAAGGACAAGACCTGCCAGTTCAAGATTGTAGCCAAACCTTACAGTTCCTCTGATAACTCCTGCACTTGGACTGTAGAGAGGGATATTCCAAGCGCAACCTATTTTGTGAGGGCCTACGCTTACAACTCCGACAATGTCGAGGTCGCCTATGGCCAAACCACCGATTCCCAAAAGGCCACCAACTTGTTTGAGGTGCAGGCGATCACTGGCCGCCATGTCTCGCTTGACATTGCCTCTGTCTGCTTCTCTGCGTTCTCCATCTTGTCCCTGTTTGGGTTCTTCTTCATGGAGAAGAGAAAGACTCGAGCGTCCCAACAAAAATGAAGAGTAATTACCTAGTTATGTTATGGATATTATGCTACTTGGATACATACAATTCGATTGTATTAGAAGTCCTTATCTGTATTACTAAACTTCAGCATTTGCCTCTGCCAGAACATCCCATCAAATGAGCTGAGTTTGAAGAATGGTTCTTGATTATACCGTTGAAGCACACTAGAACATAGATAATATTTCAAATTAAACCAGCATATATCTGAGAGATGTCGACAACATTCAGCATCCACAATCAGTAAAATTGTTAAGGGCTTCGTCCCCTAAATATCGTATCAGCCTATCGATGTCTTGATCAGTTAGAGTCCGATTGATATTGATTTTGGAGATAACAACGGAGTCAACAGCCACACTTAGACATTAATCCATATGTAGTTCTTCGGCATGGAGAAACTTAAAACCAATTACCTTTGATGAGATATAAAGGAGTGACATGATCATTCACCAAATAGCTCTACATATACATGCTCTCTAATTAAATCAAGCTTCAAATATTCTAGTTCACAGTGCAACACTCGTTGAAGCTAAACCTGGAAAGTATAACAAACCCAATTTTATTTGCAAATTTGCAACCTCAAAGTGAAATTTTTACACAATCCTGGAAAAGGCATATCCTTGCCAATAACTGCAGACCATACTAAGATGTCAGATGCTATTTTCTTTCTCCTTTTGTTCAAGTGATGGGTAAAACTAAATAAGCTATTGCATAGGACAATTACAATTCTGAAGCAGATAAGTTCTAAACGGGGTTTTATTTCAACACTTCCAAGAGCACAATTGTAAATCCAGACCATAAGCATACACTCGCAGTACTCAATCATGAATTTTGAGGATAGACATAATTCAGAAGCATTATGCATGAGTATAAAGTAACATGCTGCAATTTTATTCGGTTGGTTTTGATAATAGGCAACAATTTTTATGCACGTAAACTTTTGCAATCAATTGGATCCCTGGTATTCCTTGCTGTACAAACTGTGGGCTGCTAATTGACTGCTTGCAAGAAGGTCCCAGTTCAATATTTGGTCCCCACTAACTTGTGTTCTTTCATGTAAATATTATGGTGCTGCTACTAATTTACAGGTCCACACCATTTTTCAAGAAAGTGTGGGAATCTACATGCTAATATTCTCAGGTATATTTAAAGAGTGAAAATCATGTCAGTACTCTTCATTCGATCAGTACCAAAAACTGATAACCTATCATCAAAGACATCTATGTACCCAAATGAATCCGTGCCTGGAGGGCACTCTAGGGCTGCTTCAAGGACTCGATGGTGTACCCCATGGGAGTCAATTGACTGTCCGCCTTTGTGATCGTGTCCGGCTAGGCAAACCTTCACACAATTATATCTGTGTATTACATCCATCACTTCATCGTAATTCCACAAAAGAGCTTCTTCAGATGATGCACCAGGGTCTAAAGGGAGATGGCAACAGACCACTACTTTCTGATTTTCCTTTGTTGCATCCTCAAGTACACCATGCAACCATTCCAACTGCTCCTTCCCAACTGCTCCATTAAACAGAAGGAATCGTCTTTCAAGGCCAACCAGTCCTGCTGGACTATTTTTATCTGAATTTGGATTCTTTTCCCTAAGAAACTTCAAGGCCTGCATTGTTTTTGGATGGTCCTGAGGCCAACCAATGGCACTGATATCATACCCATCAAGCACAACAAATCTGTACTCTGGAATTGGAGAAAAATCATAGTATGCATGGCCATCAACGCTAGGAATTTTCAGTAAAGGAAGTAACTTGTCACGAGGGAGATTGTAGAGGCAGTGATTGCCAATCATGTGATAGGCTGGACCATTGAAAATCTGGAATTCATTAACCACTTTCTTGACAGCATTTAGAGATTGGTCTTTTGGGCAAAATCCATCAACAATGTCCCCGAAGTTGATCACAAATTTAAGCTTCTGGTGGTTGTTCCATTTCTGAACTGCCCTTTGCAAAACAAGAATGCTGTGCCGATAATACCGAGGAACACCGATAAACGAGCGGCCATCAGGAATATCAGCATATTGGACATCTGAAATAATTCCAAACGAAAGGAGAGGCTGTTTCCCTTGGGCACTGACCAACCCATTTGCAGAGCCCATTTCCAGTAAGCACAAAAACCTGTCCAAGTGCCAAGAATGAATTGTCATAAAATCATTATAGTGCATGTACACTGCATACCAGCCATGTGCTCTATCAGAAGAAAAGGAAGAAGAAGGTGGGAGAGCAGCAACACAATTGCTCACTATCCTCAAAATCAAAAGGCAACAGAAATGGGAGTATGACCACAAAAAAATTCCAAAAAACCCTTCAGTAAAAACCACAAAAGGTGAGAAATAATTACACTTAAGCACGTGTTTTCTGCATCTACAGCATGAGAAAATAGATATAAAGGCTGTTGCCAGAGCAACATTAGTTGGTTTCATGACCAGATCATAGTGGAGGTCCCCACAGCAGCATTGTTATTTATCTACCTTCTAACAACGTTTCAATTTTTTGCCAAAGACTCAAATTTGTAAACTGAAAATAGATAGTAATACTGATAGTTTTCATTGGCATTCAATGGAAAGCAGGAATTGTCCAAATAGAAGTTTCTATTCTTGAAGTGACACATCTTCCCCCTCTGCCTTTATTTTTTTTGAACTGTCCCCTCATGTATATGCTGAAGTCTGTCTATTTCGAGAGAATTTACGGTTAAGACTCCCAAATAAATATCATGTAGTGTTGTTTGAATTCATAGGCCATGTCATACAATAAAAGAACTCTAACAAACCTAAATCTAATAATCACGAGAGTGGGACACTTGAATCAATAAGAGAAGTAAGGTTCCTCAATTTCCTGTCAATCAACCAAAAATCTTCCAAATTCATAGGTTTGTCGACAAATTTTAGCGACCCCTTAACATTCAATCGATTGGTTGTACAAAAGTTTCAACCATTTTATTAGATGAAAGCTCAATTCAAAAAAGTCTGGTCCCAACTCTTCACAATTTCAATTTCGTCATGGTGTTTTATCAAGGGCAAAATATATTTTTGTTCAACCCCAGGCTATCATACATTTTCTAGTATCTCATTTAAAGTTAATTTCAACCTTCCTCTATCTCTCGAATTATTATCATCGGTTATCATAATTTCTGATGTAGTAAGAGCATCTCTAACCTATCTATTTTAGAGAGCATTTTTACTAAAAATGATAAGAGAGTAAATTTTTACACACCACTTCAATAGGACTCTCTATTCTTATCATTTTTTGTTATCTTTTTTGGCAATAAATTTGGCTTCTCTCATTTTTTCTCCATTATTTTAAATGAGATACGTTTATCCTAAATATTTTGGATGAATAGACAAATATATCTTTTTTTTGTTCCAAAAAAATAGGTTAGAGAGTGAATTTGACTCTCCACATGTACAGAGTCAAAATAAAGAGTCCATCAGAGAATAAATTTTAAAGGTCGACTCTCTATACTAGAGAAGTGAGTGAGAATAGAGAATTTATTGGAGATGTTCTAATAGGGCTTCTATAAAAATCGCTTGGCACTATTGCACACTCTTTCATACACCACCTATATCCCATGCTCACCAAAACTTACGCATTAAGTGAGATTGTTAAGACTTGTACTTTTGCCTGCCATTGTTTTCTTCCTACAGCCTTGAACTTTATTTGGATATATTGCAGCTGTCTTGTTAGAAGTGTCATTTAACAAATACCGGGCAAAGGGTACGTAGCTAGTGCAACAAAACTCTCTTCTATCTATTCGATAATCCAAGCCATACATACCTCTTCTATCCTCTACTGTTCAAGATTATGTAGTAATCACTTTTTGAACAAATTATAAACCTGGGGCCTTCCTTTAGGTAGGAATATTGATTTTAAGCGGGATCCGTTTTTGGCCAATAGCTACATAAACACATTGTATTTTGACCCACATATTAGGAAATCATTAGAATTGCTTTACTCTTAGGTTTTTGCGATTGTTACTTTTTCCTCCTAATAAAAAGGAGGGCAAAATCAAACAGAAAAAAACACAGCTAACACCCTAACATCACTTCATATTGAAGGAACATTCCACATAAAGGAACAATCATGCTCTTCCAACCGAACCCCACCCCAACCCCCCCAAAAAAAAAAAAAATTGTTTAAAAGCAATTTCCTTTCCTTTATATCTACGGATTGGGTCTCCATAAACTCCGAACCTAAACGCAAAACAATGAGAAAAGAAATTCTAAAACCAAAAAAGGGACAAATATCTCAAGTGCTTATTGATAAATCAAATCAGTGTTCCATATACATTGTCTTCTACATGAATCAAACACAAAAAAAAAAAAGAGAGAGAGAGATTTTTAGCATCAATCACATGCATTGTTGAGACAATGAGAGATAAAGAAATCTACGAGGAGAGAAAGAGATCTGCGTACCTATATATCAAATACTGATGAACTAGCCTGACAATCTTCTCCTATTCGGGATGTGTCTATCTGTGCAGAGAGAGAGAGAGAGAGGGGGGGGGTTGTGGCGGAGAGAGTCGAGCAGATCGTCGGGTATGTAAAAGAGAGGCGTAGTTGAATCCGACAAGGCCTTGGTTTGTTACTGTTGGTTTTAATGACTAAACAGACCACTTGGTGTTGAAAGAACCACAAAATTGCCATTAAAACACTCGTGTACGGGTGGTGGAATTAAGTCTCGTGGCTCAATCTAGTCCACACGTTCACCTTACTTTGTAGTAAGAGTAAACGTGGCTCAAATCGTGCTAATTTCCCCATAATTTAATTTTTGAGTAAAAGTGATAATAGGGTATAAATATTGAATGTAACAAGTTGAATCCTAGTTGGAGTTTATTTACTTATTTATTTTAATATTATTGATAAATAGATATTACATCACATTATCACGTAACATCACCGAATAATCAAAATCCTATATAGTTGACTTTTGGTCAATATGTAAAAAATAAAAAAATATAATGGTTATTATTGGATAACAAAATATCTAATTTTACTGTCTAAATTTTAGTGTCAAACTCTCATTCTCTAAATCTAAAAAGACTTAAAAAACACCAACAAAACAATCACGGCTCCTTCTCACTATCGTCTTGGGTTGCCTTATTCGAACTCTTGGTTTTAGTTTTAAGTGCAACAAATAACGACATTGTTCAAAGGCGAGGCTCCCACGACAATGAGGTTGACGGATATGTACAAACATCGTGAGTTTATTTTATAATCACGAGTTTAAAAATTACGTAATTATGACAATTATAGCTAGAAAAAGTTATCCATTCCCTCTGTGAGCAGCCATTTTTTGTTTTTTTTATGGTATTTAGACCTATAACAAGTGGGGGTTTCCATTCCCCATATTGGTTGTTAGTTTTTTAGCCAATAAGGACCGGATAAAAAGTTATAGAAAATTGTATCTCTTATTTCATTCATTTTTAAAATTAGGAATGGTGGAATGTGCGCCTTACTATAAGATTATCCCTTACTCCATTTCTTCTTAAGATCAGGAATGACAGGATAGTTGATAACAGTCTTGCTAAATACTAATTTTTTAAAGGAAGAGACTCTTATGTGTTCGTGCTCTAATAAAGTGAAGCACTTCACTCATCGGAAAAAGCACAAAAGACGTTTTTTCTTGGGTTAAGTCCAAGAGAGTTCTTTCTCCTAATACGAACAGACGGCTTCGGGCCGTTTGACAATGCAAGTAAAAATACCGATTTAATGTAATAAATTGAGATTGCAACATATATGTTGAAACATCAAGTTTAACATTTTTCATATATAAAGCCATCCATTTGTGTTCCTCGGGGGACATATTTTTATCCTATTTGGTATACGATGGCTAATATCCAAATTCGAAGAAATAGTCGATATAAACTTAGACATTCTATAGCCACAAAAAAAAAAAAAAAAAAAAAAAAAAACTAAGATTGCAACGCAAGAACGGTAAGCTCTTTGAGAAAGTAGTAGTATTGCTTGCCGCTACCCCAATAGTTGAGATACTTAATAGAAGAATGCACTAGTGGTTAAAGTTGTGGCAAACAACAATGCACTAGAAGACAGGCTGATTTGGATTTTCTCTAATTTGTTGAATGAAAATGAGTGTTTGCAAAGGACAACTGATGCACTAATGGCAATATTGATCACAGTAAGTTAGAACCTGGGAGCCCAGAGATTTGACAAATTTGTTTGTGTCCATCTTGATGCCTATTTTGCTGATAATAAATTATTGAGAATAGTGGGCAACTCATTTTCATTAGACCCAAAAGTAAATGGGCCAATGGCGGAGAGAAGTAGAGTGTAACAAACTAAGCAAATCTTAATTAAATTAGCACTAAGATTATTAATGAGTGCCTATAAATATGTTGTAATTCTCAGAATTCTGATACGTCGTGGTGGCTTTGTTGCTCCATTTTTCAGACTCAATTTTCCTCCTTTCCACATATGCTTGATTTGCCTTTTATCTCCTTCAGCGGCGGATTCGCAGCGGGGCAGCTGGAATTTTAAAAATTGGTGGGGTGTAAGTATAATTTCAAAAAATTTAGAATTTATTAGACATTTGCCCCCGCTAAAAATTTTTAAAAAATTTATGTATTGAATTGAAATTGGGGGTTGTAATCCTCTTTTATGATTTATTTTTTATGTATTTAATTGATATTGGGACTTGTAATCCTCTCTTGTGTTTTATTTTTATGTTGAATTGGAATTGGGGCTTGTAACCCTCTCTTTTGTTTTATTATTATATGTCAAATTGGAATTGGGGCGTATAAACTTCCATTATGTGTTAGATTAAATTGTTTTGATTTGGTGATTTGAATAGTTTTATTGTGATAGGTTAAGTAATTCCTATACATAGGTTTAGTTTAATAAAATAGTGATAGTTTAAATTAGTTTCTATTGTTTGTTAAAATTCACTGATAAATACTAAGTTTGTGACTAAACAAATTAATTTTTAAAAAATTAATTGCGCAATCGAACGAGAGATCAATGGATGAACAATTGCTTGGTTACATATGTCAAGAAAATAATTTTAAATACCATTGATAATGAAATTATCATACAACGCTTTCAAAATATGAAAACCCGTTATGAGCAACTATGAATATTTATAAGATGTTCGATAATTTGGATTCTCTCGTTATAGACTCAATATATGATTGAGCCCAATTTTTTTGTTCAAAATTTTTTGTTAGGTCTTATAAATAAATTTATAGTGAGTTTTTTTTTTTGTTGGCTCTTTTTCTACATCGCTCATGTATATGAGTTGTACCTTTAATTGACGTTCTATTAATAAAAATATATTTTTGTGAATATTTAAAATTTTGACTATTGTTGCCGCCACAAGAGAAGATTTTTGGCTCCGCCCCTGATCTCCTTCCTTTCTTAAGGAAAACCAATACAAAGCAAAATGGTGCAGTTAAAAAAAAATGCAAGCATTCAAACAGTAATGGTAGCAAGGAATGTAAGAGACTCAAAACCCTTTTTGTAGTCGGTTATAAATTATAATATGGTAAGCATAACATTTCTGTTGTTCAAACCATGGTAACGGAGCATCTCATATTAGGATATAAATCGTGCCAATGCACGTGCGGGTCGGAACTTACCCGGAATTTCGCTACCTTAGGACCGTTATAGTTACGGCCGCCGTTCACCGGGGCTTCGGTCGCCAGCTCCCCTGTCATCAGGTCACCAACTTCCTTGACCTTCCGGCACTGGGCAGGCGTCAGCCCCCATACATGGTCTTACGACTTTGCGGAGACCTGTGTTTTTGGTAAACAGTCGCCCGGGCCTGGTCACTGCGACCCCCTTTGTGATATCATCTGAGATTATCTATTTTAAATTTAGACGAAACCCACTATATCTATTGGTGTGTCCCGCTTTTTTTTAATAGGTCTTACTTGAAGTCATAGATGATCTACTTTCAAGTAAAATTGAAAAGAAGTTAGAAATAGTGGGTGACATATATTCACTAAGTTCAAAAGATAACGGATCAATGGACGGCCGTGGTATCGTACGGTACAACTATTCTAGAGATTTTTAATTTATACATGATCTGAGTTATATTGGGATTATGCGTATCAACTCAATCGGGACTATGTTTTCTAGTTAGACTAGGATTAATTTTATTTACCAATGCTTGTAAATAGATTGCCCCGGAGTAATAGAATTTCTTTTAAAGTAAGTGTCTTGGAGGGGTTTAGATCCCCATTTTATTAAATACTCGAATTTAGAACTCAGCATTTGTCACAAGTACTCTCCAAATTAACATTTGGCTAAAAGATACACACTCATTTCAAAAATTATTAAAGAGTTCCAAATGCTACTAAACAACACCATTACACTGAGTCCAAGCTTGGTAGGGGGGGCGGTCCCTAACCCCTGTGACCTGTCTTGGTCATTGCTGTCCCTCACCAATAGAAAAAAGTGTAGCCGGCCAAGGCGGCAGTTTTATCTGTTTATTTCATCTCACTTTCCCTCCCTGAAATCCTTCAAACTGATACTGTTCCCTCTCTTCATTAATCTCTCTCCCTCTTTCTTTCAGCCCCACTTCACATTTCAATCTCAATACAATGGTCTTTCTCTCCAAGTTCATCTGTGTTTACACACTAATTCTCCTCATCAAACCCATTTTTCCTCAGCAATTTTATGACAATTCTAACTGCACATCAGAACTACAATTCCCAGGTTCCAACTACCTTTGCAACACCAAAACAGGTTCATGTAGAACCTTTGTTGTGTACAGAGCACAAGAGGGCTATCAGACACTCTCCTCCATATCCTCTCTCTTCAACACAAACATATCTAAGCTCCTCTCACTCAATGAAATGACAAAAGGTGATTCCTCCACCCTCCTGCCCGGTCGAGAGATCGTCATCCCCATTACTTGCAGATGCCCCAACCAATTCTCTCAGGACATACAATTGTACAATGCCACTCACTCAGATTCCATGTATACAATTGCTTGTGGAGTTTTTGAAGGTTTGGCCAAGGCCCAAAGTCTAATAGAGCATAACACATATTTACCATCAAACAGTCTCAGTAACCATGTTCTTAAAGTGCCCGTTAGATGTGCTTGTCCTAATACTTCAGATACTAACAACGGTATAAATTATCTTGTGACATATCCAGTGATAGAGGATGATCAGACAGATCTGATTGCTCGTAAATTTGGAGTTCCTGAAAGAATGATCTGGGATGCTAATAGATTAGATCAATTCACAACTATATTTCCTCAGACTACTCTACTCATTCCGACAATGGGTGTTCCTATCCTGAATACGAATGTGTCTGGAGATCCTGCTCCGGGTCCTCAACCTGTCATTCCTTTGAATCAAATTATACCAGGTAAAAAAACAAGCAATAAGAAGATCTATGTATTTCTTGTAGGGGGTATTGTCGCGATTATTGCTTTAATGGTTATAGCTTGGGGAGTTCCAATACAAGCCAGGAAAAGGAGTCATCCTGGCGGTTTTAAAACTTTGTTAATCAGAAATTCACCGGTGTCAAAATTCTCACCTGATTTTCTTGATGGGATGTCCAAGTTAAAACACTCACTGGTAAGCTTCAGCTTGGAGGAGCTGAGGATTGCCACTGAAGATTTCAGTGAAGCTTCTGTGATTGGTACAGCAGTGTATCGGGGTAGGATTGGCGGTTCTCACGTGGCAATTGAACGTATGAAGTCTGAGGAAGAAGCTCGCCATATGATGGATATACTGACGAAGATCAACCATCTGAATGTGGTGAAGCTTGAGGGTTGCAGTTATGGAAGCACGACATACCTCGTGTTCGAGTATGCTGAGAATGGTAGCTTAAGGGACTGCCTGTCAAACTCAAAATTGGCTAAGCAGTTCACCTGGAAAAAAAGGTTGCGAATTGGTTTTGATCTTGCAGTGGGACTTCATTACATACATTACTCCACAAAGCCCTCTTATGTTCATCGAAACATAAACAGCAAAAATGTGCTTGTAACCGTGAATTGGAGGGCCAAGATTTCGGGATTTAGATTGGTGAAACCTGTGATTTACAGTGAAGAAAAGGAAGAGAGTAATTGGAATGAATCTGAGATTGTGGGTAGAAAAGGGTACTTGGCACCTGGTTACCTTGATTGCGGGAAGGCTGCAACAAAGGTGGATGTATATGCGTTTGGGGTGGTTTTGCTCGAGTTATTATCGGCTAAAGAGGCCATTGCAGAAGGGGTTCTGTTGAAGAATTGCGTCGGGTTCTTGGCAGATGGGGGGCTTGAAGATTCTTCAGGCTGCTTGGACAAATTGAAGGGATTCATGGATCCTGTTTTGGAGGGAGATTATCCATTGGGTGATGCCATGTTTTTAGCACTGTTAGCCAAAGCTTGTGTGGAGGAGGACCCCCTTCACAGACCCACCATGAACGACCTTCTCAAGGCTCTTTCAAGATTTCTATGATATTCATATATACATATATATATCCATGGATTTCTTTTCCTTAGCCACACCTCGATGTCAAAATTATTCGTATTTTTGCCAATTTGTATATACTAACGTTATTGGATTTTACTTGGATATCATATGGGACAATTTCTTGTACCTAGTTCCGTCATTGCCCGTTCCATTGGATTCACACGGGTTCCTCCTAGAAATATGTCCGGGGCTCATCAGACTATGAAAACTTTGCTTCCTTGGTCTTATGTCTCTATTTGAATAATGGAAATAAGAAGATTGTCAAAATTGAAAAATTTACTTGTCACTTGATTTTCTTGTGGCTATTCAGATAAACGCCACCACTGGAATAGAAATAAGGGGAAAACAACTAAGGCAAAAAACAGAATTCCAAATGTCATTGAAGCTTGTTCCTTGCACAGACATCAGAAAAGTCAGCTCACTCTTTGGACAATCCAAGCTGGTATATCGACGGCGGGACCGCTAAAGAAGGGAATAAGCATTAAAAATTACAAATGATATTTTTATCAGAATCAAATATTTACAACAGCCAATCCCACCTCCCCACTTCCAGGGGGAAAAAAATTATCTGGACCGTGCCAGGGCAACAATAACACTCACTTCAAGGCACAACCCAGGTGATGAGAGTGAAATCAATGCCTTTTCAGGCCCAGTACAGCACTGACTTAGCTCCCCTGGCAAATATTAGGTGTTTAGTTAATCTCATGATCGTCTCAGATGATCCCCGATGAAGAAAGGATGTCTGAGGGCCTCACGTGCCATCAACCTTTCTGAGGGCTCATACCTAAGGAGCCCTTGCAAGAGATTTATGAGATCCCCTGCTGAATGGTCAACATGCTGCATGATTAGATTCTGCAATAAGAGACACCACATTAGCCATAAATATTTCCATGCCAAATATAACCAGTATTATACCGAACAGCAAAGTTCAAATTTGAGCGACGTGCAAACCTGAAGGCGGGGAAGCTTCAGAACAGCTTTTATACTTTCTGTCGAGGTCGCACCTTTAGGCCAGTCCAATTTACCCTTTCTCATATATTTCTCTGCATGCCGGCTGAAAGAAGATAACAAGAAATACAGATATCAGCACAAGTACCCCGAGTTCCACACCAGTATTAATGAAAAGGGAGAAAAGCTAATTAATAAATGATACATAACAATACTTACTCTACTCTTTTCAACATGTGCGGGGGCAGTGGACCAAGGACCCTCTCCATCATGGCAAGGTGCTCCAAGTTCTCATGTGTTTGGAACAATGCTTCTCCCTGCCCAAAATTTGTAACTTGGCATTAAAAATGCTGAAATATGGATTCAAATTAAAGACAGAGCAAATATACTTCACTTACCGTGCATAGCTCCACCAAAATACAGCCAACGCTCCATATATCACAAGGGTAACTCCAACCAAGTCCTGCAGAAAATCAGATAATACTATAAAATTATATTCTTCCTCCATCCAGCATTAGAAAACATTATCATAATATACAAATGCAGTACAAACCTAGAATAACCTCCGGTGCACGGTAATGTCGTGTTGATACAATGTAAGTCAGATCCTGACGATCATGTGTTGTGCTGCCAAAATCAATCACTTTTATAGCACTTGATTTAGGAACTCTTTTGAAGTAAGAACTATCTTTTGGAGTGCGTGATGAACCCTGAAGACAAACATTAAAATGTCAAAGGTCAGTTATCTCAATAATAAATGGATGCATCGAAAAATAGTTAAGAAGGGCAAGCAACATGCAAAAGCAAATACAGCAAAACACATCAACCATCTCAAAAAAGGCACAGCATACAAGTAAATCTCAGATGGGTTGAAAAAAAGAAACCATTATAGTCGATCATATGCATGCATTAACAATACAAAAAAACCTATGGGAAAGCAAAAATCATTTATAAGCATTCATTTTATCTTTACCTTGTATTCTGGAACCTTAACATACTCAGGAGAAACAAGGAGTATGTTCTCAGGCTTCAAATCAGTGTGTATGAGTCTCAAATCATGCATGACTGCAAATTTTTTAGGAAACAAACATTACCTCTCAAACATCAAAAAAAAAAAATTAAAATGTTAGAAGTAGACTATGCATGAGGTAATTTTCATAATTCCAGGCAAGTGACATCCTCGCCAAAAGTTTCAAATACAAAAGGAGCAGGATTTAAGATTTGTTGTTATCTTACACCCAAATGAGGTTTATCTTAAATGAACATATAGGCAAAATTTATTATAAATTAAAAGAAATGAATACAAGTAATTACTACACACATGATACACATTCCAAAAGTTGTCTGCCAATCTCACGGACAAGATCAATGGGAAAAGAGCGGTAATTGTTTTTCCGTAGAAAATCGTACAAGCTAGGCCCAAGCTTCTCAAACACCTGTTAAAAACCATTTGAATTTATCCACAAGTCTCAACCACTAGAACTTATGTGAAATTGGGGAAATCAGTCCACCAAATCAGTCATGTACTTACAATACAGATATGGTTACGATAGTCAAACCAGTTCCGTATTTGCACACAACTGCAAGGAATAAAACAATTTAACCACCGACACATTCAAAGACCTCCAACCATACTGTCAATAATGGCAGCAAAAGTGCATTGGAACCTTACTCACCGATTGCCACCTTTATCATGGTTACCAAGCTGTTGCAGCACTCCAACTTCAATCATAGCTGCCTCACGATATTTCTTAATGCCACGAACAATTTTAATGGCAACCATTTCTTTCATTTCCTTGTCCCAGCATTCCAGGACCTGACCAAATGTGCCTAGACAAAAAATCATTGAACACAGCAAAGGAAATATGAGATCAGCTGCCATTAAACAACTCCAATTTACCAAGACAGATTATTAATTTGTAGTCACACACCTTCACCCATTTTTCCGTGTATTTTATCTGCCACAAAAGAAACAAAACAATTAGACACCAATAACGTTTTAAGAATATGACAGTACATACAAGACACGCCTATTCTTAAATTTGGAGAAACACAAGAGTATCGCCTAGAAAGTCAACAACACTACATGTTACTGCAACCTGGAAAAAGAATCCTAGCTGAGCCAACTCATGGCTTCTAACTAAGAAAAAGTATATTAAGAAAAACATTACAGTCGACAACACCACATTCATAAAAAAGGTATGATGAATACAATAGTGGTGTGTCTCTATAACTATCCATTAAAATTGTTGTAATAATGTTTACATGGTGCTATAGTCATCAAAACAAGCGTAAATGTAAAGTTCTTATTTGATGATGGTAAAGGGTAGTTACAGCGAGAAGTTAAATTTTCTCCAAGCGCAAACATATAATGTCCATCTTTGTCATCTTCTCGCCATGGGGGAGAACCATTTCGTGCCACTCCCTTAACAAACAGAGAACTAGTATGGTCGGAAGGAGCACTTGAAGATGCAAAGCTTGTCACATTCCCAACCTCTTGTCCACAAAACAAACCAAGCTGAGCCTACACACAGGCATTCATTCATATTTCTCTCAAAACCAAATTATTTTCTACATTTTATGCCCTTCGAAACATACCAGCGAGCATAAGCAACATATTAAGGACTGAAAACAATATACCATCAAAGATAAAGTTTGCCACATGAAACACTATATATATTTCACCTCAAACAGCGACCAAATCAAAGATTTTATTTACAATAAAATGATAATTAAAAAAAGATAAATGAAGGCAATCACAAAAATCAAAGATTAATCCAATTCCGTTCTAACATAACATGGATCCAGAACCCCAACTTAATTTATTCTAACTCAAAATGCTTTCTATCTAATGACTAATACAGATATCACGTTCTATAATTCTACTGGCTGAAGCGCTTATAACTAAGATATGCATTGAAAAAGTATAACCAAATCTTTGAAACAATTAAATTCACCAAAACTATATTGCTAGTTTAAAGGAAAATAATCCCTCCACTTCAAGGAAATACACAGAAAATGGTTGCTATCAAATCAAAATATGCTATACCATATCCAAAAAGCACAACTTTTCTTCATGGCTTACCCGCAATCATTGATTTTCTCAACTAAATATTCAGCAAATATTACATTAGGCAGAAACACACACAAAAAAAAAAAACTATGTTCTGAAAGAACCACTGAATCCTATCTTTCATATAAAAGAAACATATTCGTAGGCAAAGATTAATTTCAATATAACTTTCGGAAGATCTTCCATATAAAGAAACAGATCTATCGGAAAATAATTTTCCCGAGAATTAAACTAAAATACAAAATCCCTCCATTCACCCAGATTTACCCCCCAAAACCATATGTAACAATAATTTAACATAAAAATTAAAGTCCGCAAAAAAAAACATAAGAAACCATCAAATCTTATCAAAATAAAAAACAAACCGTTCGAATCGACCCTCACAGATCAATCAAACAAGCTATTTTTCCATACCTGATCAATAGGTATCTAAATTTCCGCCAGATCTAGCAAAACAAAAACAAAAACCACAAGAAAACAAACTAATCAGACAATTCAATAACAGATCGGATACCTTAGGGCCTTGAGGAACGACGTCCCAGCCTAACCGCGGCCTCTTTCTCGGTCGCCGGTCCATATGCGTGTGTGGAAACTCAGTCACGCGCTCCATCTCCATGGCGGATCGGTTTAGAGAGGGAAGGTTGCAAGGGGAGATCGAAATCGAGGACAGAGAAGATAAAAGATGAAGGAAGATCGAAGATGAATGAGATGCGTGTGAACCTGTAACCCTAATCCGAACCTAATATTGACCTAACAATAGCGTAGAGTCGGTTGAGGTTAAATCTGACCGTCCACGTGTCTTGTTTCCATCACTTTCTTTTTGCCTGATCCTTACTTTTAATAGGTTCTCGCTCCTTGACTTTAACCATGGTTATTTTTGTGGTTCAATTATAACTGTGGTTAAGTTAGCTCTCATAAACTCTAAAAAATGAAAAAATATTCATATATGACGTGGCAAATTGACGTGATGTCACCGACTAATAATATTAAAATAAATAAATAAATTCTCAAAAAAATTAATAACTAACATGTCATGTAAGCAGATAATTTTTTACTCTTCTTTCATGTAAGTCAAGTGTGAGATTCACCTTTTTTTAAAAAAATTTATTATTAATTAGTAATATTGTGTCACTGTATCACCGTTGTATTCAATATTTACTCAAAAAAATTTATTTGTACGCGAACTTTCACAAGCACAGAAAGTGTATTTCTCTAAGCCTCATCAACAAACAAGGTCTATTTTGGGCCCACCGCCAATCTAGAAGGGTAATTTAGAAGTTGGTATAATTTTTTAGACTTATTTGGATAAAAGAACAAGTCAAAAACTTATTTGAGATAAAATGCATATTTTTTTAAAATGTCACTATTGTCATCAGTAAACAACATATGAACGGAAATCCTCTTGTATTCTTTCCTTTTTTTTTGTGGCTACAATCAAGTAATGGGAGGTAAAATAGGAGTATATTTTTTCTAATATTTTCTCTTTCTCCCCCTATTTTTTCTAATATTACAACAATACAATTACACTAAACAGTTATATCAATCAGTTACAATTGTCATATAATACACCAAATAGTTATTCATGCATTTTAATAAACCAACAGTTGTTTACATAAACTAAATAGTTACATAATTTAGTATTGTCGCATCGTTACACCATCATGTCTTAACAATTGCATGAGATTGTGATTGTTACACCCATTAAGACAATTGCATGAGATTGTGATTGTTACACCCATTAAAAAACAGTTACACCCATTAAAAATAATTATACTCATTAAAAAACAATTACACTCATTAAAAAAATACTTACACATATTAAAAAATAGTTACGCCCATTAAAAAAAATAAAAAGAAGTTCTTTTTTTCCTACATCTCAACAACGAACAATACATAATATTTAACAAAACATCTTAACCGATTCTCTTTTTTTTTTTTAGAAAAATTCAGGGTTTGATCAATCATCATAGTAAAAGATTTTATTCCTTTTGGTCAGATGACTTGGAAGCAAGGTTGATGGCCTGGGACGACATATCTCTATATCTATACTACTTATAAATGTCAGCATGTGTGAAAAATTTTTGATTTCCTATTTCACCTTTAATTATTATCATAAATCCAATTATACCCACATATTTTCCTTTCTTTCAGACATACTTGACTTCCAAAATATTAGTTAGATAAACTTTATCTCTATAGTTTGGTATCCTGGAGCAAAATACGGTAGCAGATAAGACAACAGAGCGCATTCTATGATGTACCATGTGTCCATACCCCAAAAAAAAATTCCCTCTCCCCCTGAAATTTTTTCTAGATGTTTCCCTTCTGCCAAGTTTTCTCACATTTTATTCCTAATTTGCATTTCATCAGCAGAAGTTATAAACTTTATCAAAATATTACCTAGATAAATTTTATCAAAAAATTTGGTAGATAAATTTTATCTCTATGACAATATATTCTTTCTTTGTCATTCAATTATACAAACTCTACTAGAATTCTAATATCACGTATTGGTAATTTTTAGGTGATACATATACATATATTTTTTTGTCTTTTCTACTTATTAGATTTCTAAAATATTTTGAATTCCTTCATATATATATAAAAATTTTATCTCTATGACAATATATTTTTTCTTTTCCATTCAATTGTACAAACTTTACTAGAATTCTAACATTACATATTGGTAATTTTTAAGCGATATAAATACAAATATTTTTTCTTCCATTTACATTAAAGTTAAAAGTTAGCCTGCCATAGTCATTTATTTAAAGTTATATGGTCTCATGCTCTTCCATGACTAACTCAATGAAGTCGAAGTTAGAGTTTTCGGCATAATTGAGTTAGTTTATCAATTCCTCAATTTTAGTTTATTAATTTATAATTTATGTGGCACTTAATTTTTTTTTAATTTAATGTCAAACAACTTTCTAAAAAATTGGTATGGCAGGTTAAGTATTCGGCATAATTATTGAGGTTAGTTTATTAATTTTTATGTTTTAATTTATTAAATTAGTGTGACAGGTCGAGTATTCGGCATAATTGAAGTTAGTTTATTATTTCTTATATTTTAGTTTATTAATTCATATGTTTATGTTAATTCCTATGTTCTGTGACACTTAATTTTTTTTTTTAATTTAATGTCAAACAACTTTCTAAGAGATTAGTGTTGCAAGTCAAGTATTCGACATAATAATTGAGGTTAATTTATTAATTCTTATATTTTAGTTCATTAAATTAGTGTGACATGTCGAGTATTCGGTATAATTGAGGTTAATTTATTAATTCATACGTTTTACTTTATTAATTTCTATGTTTACGTTAAAATTTTCTATATAAGTGTTTCTTCGTTTTATTACAACCTCTCGTGAATCCAATTTTTCATTATTCATATGACTAATATTTTGAAAGCTTGTCCAAATCTTAATACTCTGTAATCAAATTTATTAAACTTAATTTTTCATTACTCATATTCTATTATAGCATTATAAATAAAAATTATATGTTCCAAAAATTCGTTATTCTAATTATAAGAAAAAATATTTTAAAAAATAGTTAAAGTTAGGTACCACACCCAAAAAAAAATTCGTTAATATACTATGTACCATTTTTTTTTGAGTATTTTTATATGTATCATGGTTTTCAGTATTTTTATCATTTATTGGCTAAAATTTATTAAATTTTGATGTTAAAAGATTAAGTGCATTTTTTCTTGATATTTTAATTATTCATTTACCTTTACAAAAAATAATTCAATTTTATTACTCATCATATGTGTGTGTGTGTATATAAAGTATAAAGTGAAACAAACTATATATAAATATATGTGTGTGTGTGTGTATGTGTGTATAAACAAACTGATACAAATTGATATATCTATATCTATATATATATATTTCACTTATACTTTATACCCATACTCCTTCATCTTCATCTTTTAGCACGAAAATATCTCTGCATTTGCTTTCTCTCGCTCTCTGTAAACTCTTATTTTACCTCTCATTATTATTGTTAATCTTTACATACTTGTTTTCTCAAATAATTGTCAATGACGACTGCATCAATTAAAAAAGGGTGTTTAGGTAAAAAAAAAATTTAATTCATTTTGAATTTTGTACCTAAACACAAAAAGTTTTGTAAAACTTATACTTAATTGAGTAAATAATTTCTCCATACACTTTTGCTCAAAAAAATCTAAAAAATTATACCTACACCCAAAAAACATAATCTAGAATAGAGCTTGTTGGGCTTCATGATTAACAAGGTATACAATTTTATTTCCAAAAATTTATTTACCCTTATTTAATACTAGCAATTAACCATGCCTGAAGGCACGACGTAACAAACAAAAAAATCGAAAGTAAATACATGTTAAGAGACTGTATGCAATAAAAAATTGTCAATTAAAAAAACTAAGAAAAAACATTGATAAATATAATATGGGCCCATTATTTTTTTTAAAAAAATTGATAGAATACAAATCAAAACAATGTCAAACATTGTTCAATAACTGTTTAATTATTGATTGATATCCAAATGGTAGTAAATTCAAAAATCATTGTGGTATAAAAACAATCAAAATAATGATGTATTAATATTATCGAGAAAGAGATTTCAACTTTTTTGTTTTTGTTTTTTACCACAAAGAAGGGGAGAGAATATTTAATTTCAACTTTTGTTTTTGTTTTTTATTTTTTTTACCAAATGGAGAGAGAGAGTGTGGGTGGTAGTAAATATGATTTGACTTTTGAGTATTTTTAAAAAAAAATTAATTTCTAAATTTTTAATGTTATGAATAGGATTATAGACACAAATTATTGCAATAAAAATTTTGATTGGATTTAATTTTTGGGAAAATTGTGAAAAAGTACGCCATTTAAGACTTATTTGTGGAAAAGTACCTCAATATAAAACATATGTGTATAAGTACCTTTGTGTGTAAATGTTTTGTGAGTAAGTACACTTTTGCTGATTTTTAATTTTTTTTTTTACAAAATTACCCTTTTCCTTTATTAATGGGTCACAAATATGACAGTTATATGAGAGGTTCAGTTTCCTTTTTTTAAGTTATATCATTTTTTGAATTTTGAATTACCTCCTTCATTTGACAGACGGTTTCCTTCTCCATTTCCGTAACCCATGTTTGTAAACAGTCGGTAAACATTTTAGGGAAACATCCACTCATTAGGCGGCTTGATTTAAGTCCTTATTTCATAACAAGTTAGCCTTTTTTATACCGCTACCGGGTTTTCACACATCAGCCAATTTCTTACAGTAAAAGACGTGTTTCAGGTTTGTTTTCCACACTGTTGTAATTTTTTTTTTTAAAAAAATAATATGTAATGACGAATATATATTTCAAATTATTGTTTTCACAAAATTTTGATGGAGGATATGATCATTTTGTTATGCCGTTATGGGAATGAGTCGTTAATTATCTATGTTTTAAGATATTCACCGTTTGAGGATGTATAAAATCGAGTGTTTGATACATGGGAGTTGTTGTGGGATTTGCTAATACACTTATCATATTCACTCCCCAAAATACCAAATTATTTTTTGAAGAATGATGAAGACTTCAAAAATATGTTTGAAATGTCACGTTCTATTAACGTCAATTATGTTCCTGTGAGGATAATCATAAATGATGATAACTCAAATGGGTGTGTTGTTAATTCAAGTAAAGATTTGCATAATCCGGATGATGATTCTAATTCGAATGATGATTTATTGCCTCGTTATAGCCAACATAACGAGAAAGTGTTGTTAACATCTGGGTGGATTAATGAAATCAGACATATAGGACAGAAATTTGAAGGTGGTATGCTGCAGTTTCATAAATCTCTTTGCAAATACTTGATTAAATGCAGTTTCAAATTCAACTACATTAAGAATTGTAAATATCAGATTGTGGCTGAGTGTGCGGAAAAATATTTCACGGGTTGTAAGTGGAAGGTGAATGCAAGTATTCAAAAAGTAAATGGATTTTTCTACATACGAAAACTTCACAATGAACACACATGTGATGAAGCACTACATACAACAGATAACAGGAGGATGAGTTCTAGTTTAATTGCAGATTTAATTGTTGATCATATACGGGAAAAAAATGCTACTCGTCCCACTGAGGTTGTCAGTGAATTTCTGTCGGATTATGGTCTTATAATTTCGTATGATCGAGCATGGATGACATTTGAGAAAGCGAGAGGGAAGATCTTTGGGAATCACTCATTGTCGTACCAGCAAATAGGATGGTATGTTGATTCTGTAATTACAAACAATCTTGACAGCCACATTATTTTAGATTGTGATGACGATACTAACCGGTTCTAGAAATTATTCGTGTCATTCAAGGCGTGTATTGACGGGTTTAATTATTGTCGTTCTTTGTTGTTCATTGATGGAACATTTTTGAAAGGCAGGTATAAAAGTAACATCATTTTGGCAACTGGCAAAGATGGCAATCAAGGTATTATTTTATATAAGAGATCATATTATGTCAGATATATAAATATCACATTTTAATATTTTTTGTGTTATTGATTGTTGTCTGTTGAGTTGGTTAATGTTTTGTTTTTAGGTTTATACCCATTAGCATTTGCTGTCGTTGATTCTGAAAATGAGGCAAATTGGAATTGGTTTTTACAACAGTTGACGCATATTGTGGACCATGGTCGTGAAATTACTTTTGTGTTCAATCGGAATGTGGGTGTTTTAGAGAGGCAATGCCAAAGGTTTTTCCAAATGCTCATCATGCTTTTTGCTTGCAACATCTAAAAGCCAATTTAAGGGACAAATATAGTGGAGGCTGGTTTTCCAATAAAACCAGGGAGCATATGGTGTTATTATTACGTGAGTGTGCGTATGCACCGACAGTTTCTCTATTTAATGAGAAGATTGAATCTCTCCGTTGAGAAGGTGGGCCAAACATTTATAGGTTTTTGACAAATCTCCCAGCTGAACAGTGGGCAAATGTTCATATTCGGGGTCGAGAAAGTGGGCCAAACATTGACAGGTTTTTGACAAATCTCCCAGCTGAACAGTGGGCAAATGTTCATTTTCGGAAAAAACGGTATGATGAGATGTCTTCTAATGTTGCGGAGTCTTATAATGCTTAAATTTCAAAAGCACGAAATTTACCAATTACTAGTATGATTGATATAATAACGAGTCAGATTATGGACCAGAGGGGATATAGGTTGAAAGAATCTGAAAGTTGGAATGGTAACATATGTCCTAATATGGACTCCAGATTAAGTGCAACATTTCATGAAGGTAGATCTTGGTCTGTACGGGTATCTAGTACTGATGTGTACGAGGTGAATTCATACCCGTCAATTTTTGTTGACATTTTGAATGACACTTGCACATGTTATTAATGAGAGATTAATGGATTCCCTTGTTCGCATGCGGTTTCGGCGATATGCAAGAGTGGGTGGAATATATATGAATTCATTAATTATTATTTTCATGTAAGCACATATAGAAAGGCATATGCGGACCCAATACACCCAATTTTGACACTTGGTCGTCCAGATATCTCGCTCGAACCGATTAATATATTACCACCATCATCTGAGCCTAAGCCTGGTCGCCCGAAAAAATGAAGAATTAGGTCGAGAAGTGAACTCATTCGACATATTCATTGTGGTTGTTTGGGCAACCACAACAAGAAAATATGCAATGCACTATTGTGATTAAATATTATAATTGACAATGTAGTTAGTGTCATTTTATGCTTATTTGAATACGGAATAAATTAATATTGTGGTTATCAAACTTGGTGTGTGTTTAGAGATGGAGTGTGTTATAATGGAAGATGATTTTTGCCAACGTGGAATACCCTTCATATCTTACATATGCATATACTATTTTTTGGCCAATTGTATATATGTATTTGTCACATATGTTACCAACCATAATGATGAAATCATGCAATGCCACAATGTTACCAACCAATGTCATACTGATTCAACCCACAATCAACAAGAAAACAGACATTGACACACTTGTACCAGAAAAATGCCAAAATGTTACCAACCAATGTCATATTGATGCAACTCACATTCAACATGAAATTTGACATTAACACACTTGTTTCGGCCAATGTCACAATATTACCAACCAATGTGACATTGATGCGACTTACATTCAACATGAAATGAGATATTGACACACTTGTGCCATCCAATGCCACAGTGTTACCAACCAATGTCTCACTGATGCAACTCACATTCAACATGAAAGCAGACATTAACACGTTTGTACTAGTCAATGTCACAATGTTACCAACCAATGTCACCCTGAACCATCCCCACATTCGACATGAATGAAAACATTGACACACTTGTACCAATCAATGTCACAATGTTATCAACTAATATCACACTGATGCAACCCACGTTCAACATGAAGCAGACATTGACACACTTGTACTAGCCAGTGTCACAATGTTATTAACCAATGTCACACTGATGTAACTCGCATTCAACATGATAAACACACACTGATAAATTGCTTCCAGCCAAACGTCACCCTCACACAAATCAATGTTATCAAAAGATACTTATACAAGCAATGACACACTGGTATCATCAAAATTTTTACACTGCTGCAAAATAAACATAATACTGCTATCAGTTAATTACCTAATGTCACACTGATATAAAATAAATATCAATGTAACAAGTCAATGTCACACTGTTACATATCAGACTAACAAAGTGACAAAGTAATGTCATATTGTTCTAATCCAAAGTTGCACTGTTACAATCCAAACGCACATTGCTACAACACAAAGTCACATAAGTACTAACAAAGTCAAATATTATCATCATATTAACAATAGTACATCAAAGTCCCAAGGACATTGTTCACTAATCACATTTACACTTTAAATGTGTAATAACAGTTTGAAGAACTAATCATGTACCCCCAAATTTGTCTTTCAATTTTTGTTTCATTTTGAAATCGTCTTCTGTCCAAAAATTTTGATGATTCATAAACATTGATAGCATTTCACTTCGAAAGTCTTTAATTTGTCTTTGTATTAGATTATCTTCTACGTCTTCTCATGTTGTCAATTGTTTCATAATGTAGCAAATGTACACACCACAGTCGACCCTAACTTATAGTTGAAATTCGTTTTGTTTTTACAATATTTGAGCAGTTGTCTAATAAATAAATAAATGATACTTACGTGTTTGATTTCTGTTGTGGACTTTTCTCACATGATATCATTGGTCTGACCATGTCTTGTGTGTCGAGAAAATTGTCACTGTCGGACATCAATTCTTTAACCTTGTTTTCCACATAATTTTTCTGTTATTACATGCAATTAATAAGTTATGCACATGTTGAATATTATATTAAAAGTTCTGTTGAGTTTAGATATTGGTTTACCAAAATGATAGCATTTTGAAAGTATGGGTCTTTGCCACCTTTTGTCGTTAGACGTAACGAGTTGTAGTGTATTCAAATCCCTTCATCAGTGTCTAGCACAAGCAAGGTCCAATGGTCTGGAACTTCATTTTTATTATTACAATTTGAGTTCATTGGGAAGATAATATAACGTGCCTCCACACCAGGCAGCAGATGCTTATCAATTTATTTTTTTCTAGCTTCTTACATATTGGGGGCACGTACAAGTGTCTACATATTATTACAGGAATGATTAAGATATAAATATTTTATCAAAAACTCACATATTTATAGCAGTTGAATTTTTTACCCAACATAGGCTATTAATGAATACACTCTGTCTGCTGAAAATGGATGATTCATTGCATTTGTTGAAATCTAACAGTATATCTCCCCATGTGTCTATTACTTGTGTTAAAATATTTTTTTATTAATAAACATACACAAAAGTACACGTTCATTTACTGCATTTTCAAAACATAAATACATATAGTGTTGAATAGTTCAAGTCCCCCCATAAGCTTCAGTGCATCTTCGACATCAATGTAACTTCCATACCCAATTTTGAACTATATTTTTTCCCTGCAATATAATGCAAGTACAATCGTACAACATTAAAATATAGGTGCCAACTTATAGGTATTACGTAATACATATGACACTTACGTGTAACCTTCCGCGTCATAAATTTGTTTTAACTTGCTCAGGTCATTTGGACTCAAATAGTTGCACGCTTTCTACAATTTTTTAGTGTCCCTTTTAGACATTCCTTTGATTGTGGTTGATTTGTCAGGTAATTGATTAACATCGATAAAATCTTCTTCTTCTTCAACTTGATCGATTTCCTTGTTGTTCCCATCGTTTTTCAATGTCACCTTTTTTTTTTCCCTTTTTCTTCGCACTATATTCGAAATGTTCTTCTCTTCGCCTTTTTCTTTCTTTCGTTTTGATCTTCCTAATCAAGGATGATGTCCCCTTTGATGGCGTCTGTTGATAGGTTGGCATCGTGGGTGGGATGGATGTTTGTTGGTATATCTGCGTAATGGCATGGACTGACTTCTCATTTACTTGTTCAAGCAGAGCATCGTTTTCAGCTTCAAGTTGTTGAATTTTATCCTTTGTTACTCGCATTTCAGCCTAGAACGTATCTCTCTCTTTATTCATGTTGATGACCATGTTTTTCATATTTATTTTTAGTGATTCATTCTCTTTTGCAAGCTTCATGATCTCTTGGTTGTATTCTTCATTGGTCTTCTTTGGGTCACACACTCCCTCTTCATGTATTTGTTTTGACTCATATACAACAACATCAAGGAGAGTTTCAAATGGTTGTCCTTCATTTATATTACCATCACTTGTATCCAAGATGGCATCATCAATCAGCAAGTTGTCCTCTTGCCACAAATTGTTTTCACGAACATCATGTTTTTGCTCATCTGTTACTTTTTCTTGATGGATTTGGTCATTTTCAACACTATCCAAGTCGTCCTTTCCATGTGGACTACCAACTGTTTCAACCTTGTTGTCTCTCTTGTTCACTTTATGTTTTAGCAATGTTTTTTCCTCCTTCGTCTTTTTCAATTTCTGACAGATAACCTGGGAACAAATAGATTTTGTCATTTTATTTTTTAATTAAAAACCTGTAGAATACCACATTCATAAAATCAATGTTGCTAACATTTGTACAAATTTCAAAAGAAAATTGATATTGTGACATGTTTGTCACAATTAGCTCATTTCAAAAATTCAGACATTGAGTAAATGAGAATAAAAATTTAAAACCCAAATTTAAACTTACATCTTTAGACCCAAGCTTCTGTAGCTTCCTTTGTCATATAGCCCTTTGAAGACTTTGTAAATTCCATTTCATGAATCTTGGAAATACATTTGGCATTTTGGGGGTTATTAATTTTGTGTGTTCACAAAACCAAAACTGTATGTGTTTGTAAATATTGTTAATGTCAATATGAAAAATCATTAAAAATTATAACATATGCAACATAAAAATGGAAAAAATTAACCTACAATAATACTAACCGGTATCAATAAAACGCAACTAGTGATTGCTGTGGGGGTATCCACCTTTTTCCTCAATGATATGATAAGTGCACCTTGAATGGCACTACACTAATCATACCTCTTAATCTCATCCAAGTTCTCCACCTATGGAATATATCTCCACCCAAGCGTATTTCCTGTGTTTGTGAAGAAAATGGACACCAGCAGGAGTAGACAAAACAATCTTGCAACGTCGTCAAAATCTGCTTGAGTTGTACCATCCACGGCAAGCCTCAATTTACTCTTTATCAACGCTGCATTCAATCTCTTGTCTTTCTTAAACCAAAGTTGGATAAAAGAGGTTTTCTTTTTACCATCTTTGGTTGACTTAATATGCACTTGCCCATCTTGTATTCCAAAAATGAGTTTCACATCACTTCTACGCAATCTCAGTTCTTCCCCACCGATTTCAAATCTAGAGGTCTGTCTATTGAAACATAAAATCATTTGTAATACTTCTTTGTCCGTTTTCTTGCACCATGCTTTGTCTACTTTCCTATCTATTATTTTTTTTCAAACAATAACCAAAAGGGTGTCTTTTTCAACGCAGTCTTGTGCTCGTCTCTTAGTTCAACATCATCTATTTCCCTAACAATAGCTTGCATGTTGGACCTGTATTGCGGTTCACATTTCTTTTGTATTATTTTTCCGTTCGTATCTTTTCTCATTCTGATATCACAAACACAGTTATTAGTTCATTTTGTATATGATCTTGGGAAAAAATTTTTCAAAATAATGTGACTTCAGAGACTGTGACATTAATACACATGAATATACAGTGTGACAACAAAAGTAACATTACATTTTTATATATTTTTTCCATAAAAAAAGATTCTAACAATATTATAACTAATACAAAATTACACATAGTTAATCACAAATAACAAAATTTATGGATTGACAAATATTCAAATTTAATTGAATCATAAAGAAATATTTCATAATTAATTTAACAACTTAATCATGCCAAGCAGTTGTAACCAGTTATCAAATTACCAAAAAAAAAATTGGAGATATTATTGATTCCACGACATAATTTATCAAAGTTTACCTTCCTCAATGTCGACAAGTTCTTTTCAAGCACTATTCAATGATCTCAACAGTCATTTCCACCCCAAATGTATGTTTTCTTATTCACAGTTAATGGTGAGGTCGGCACTGTTTGCAGCAGAGACTTTCACTATTACACATTGAACCCATTTTGAACAGTAAGTTTCCAAACTTGTTAAAGTGAAAACACCAAAAATGAACAATGCACCCATCAAGTAAACGAAAAACTAATTCTGAACATCATGTATTGAATGTAAGTTTTAAAAGTTTAACAATAATCCCATAAAAAAAATTACAAATGGGTTGAACAAAAAACACATTTTGAACATCATGTATTGAATGTAAGCAAAAATCATGATGAGCAAAAATATATAAAAGTATCAATGTGTCATTTTCATATGAACAATGTATCAACTATAAAGCAAAAAAATATTTACAGAGATATTGAAAGAACAAAACACAGATTACCCATCGACACTGTAGTGGACAAGCAATGAACAAAAAATAGTAATGGACACTGTAATGAACACAAAACAGTGATATTGAAATATGAACAAACAAATTGGGTGATAACTCCCGAATAACCACTCGACATTGTAATGGACAATCCTATCATCAAATTTACCAATATAGAAACAGAGCAATATAAAAAATCAAAATTTGGTGTATCCACAATCAACTTGATCAAAACACCACAAATCACATACAATAATGATTAAGAATCGAAAAAAAAAATAAAGAAAAACATACGAAAGAAGTGTCAAACAGTGAACCCATAAAAAAAAATTGAAAATGGATTGAACGAAAAACCAATTACGAACAATGGGTATTGAATGGAATTTATCAAAGTTGAATAGTGAACATATCAAAAAAAAATTAAAAATTGGTTGAACGAAAAACCCATTCTGAACAATGGGTATTGAATAAAAGTTTTTCAAAGATGATACCACTGAATACATAAAAAAAAAAAAAAATTAAAAATGATTTGAACGAAAACCCATTCTGAACAATGAGTATTGAATGGAAGTATTCAAATATGAAAAGTGAACACATCAACAAAAAAAAAGGGTTGAACGTACAAATCTATTCTGAACAATGGGTATTGAATGAGAAGTTTTCAACGATAAACAGTGAACCCAATGTAAGGTTTAAGAAGTTTTCTTATACCTTTGTAACCTCAATGTAATCCTATGCCTTTACCGATTCCTTCTTCATTCCTTTATAACTTTCTCATTGGGAAACCCATCCGAAGAACAAAAAAAAAAAAATTGACCATTGTGTTTTGAAATAACTGAGGTTTTAGGGAGTTATGTCATCAATTTTTGAAGAGCCCATATTTTCAGCAATATCGAAAGAGTTACAAGATGTAACATTCCAATCCCCTTGTTTCAGCTATGGAATCAAAAAATTAGGAAACTGTTCATAGTCTTCTGACTGGGCTATTTTAGACTTTTGCTATGTATCGTGTACTTTTTGATCAATATTTTTAAAAGTGGTACTTTTTACCCTATAATTTCTTAAAAAGGTACCGCCCCCCCCCTTAAAACCCTTAATTTTTTGGAGCTTTTTTATAAGGCTTAAAATTTAATGGATTTAATTTTTTTTTGTGGGCTAGTGATGTACCTAAATTTATGGGGCCTAAAGTCCATGTTTTTTTTTTCATACTATTGGGCCGGCCTTGGGTGGCTATTTGTTGGGGGCAAAAATCGAGAGGAGGAACAAAGAGAGAAATAGATGGAGGCAGAGGAGAAAGGGGATATCAAAAATAATTGGATAAAAAGATCGAGATTGATGCAGGTGATAAAGAAAAACGAAGTAAATAATATAGTATCATTATTATATTGAATATTTTTTAGTGTCATGTGAAAAAGTGATTTCACTGATATGAAAAAATTATTATTTAGAGCAGCATGAGTGGTGGTGAAAATTTAAATATGAACGTTAATTTTAGATTTGCACATAATTGATTTTGGCAAGATTGAGAGACGAATTCAATGTAAGAGTGTCAATTATGGAAACTAAAAATTTTGAGCAGCAAAAATATTTCAAAAGGGTTAATGTGGTACGTCGGATCAAAACGACCTGAGACATCAATAGCTTGAGACAGTTTTGGATAACGTCGTCCATTGAATGATGACTTTTTTGGTTATAAAATGATCTAGACCACTCTTTATCTCTAAAATTCAAAATCGTTCTACTTTATTACGTAGATATATATATTCACAATAACATTGAGATAATGATAAATTCAAAATTTCATCTGATATCCTGAAAGTGATTGCATCAAAACACAAAAATGGAAATGACAAATTCAAACACACACTGACGCACACAGAGAAAACTCTCGATCTACGAGGTTGCAGATTTCCTCTTTCCTTCTGGGCTTATTCACAATAGTGAAATTTTTATGTCACTGTCTATTTCTGTCTTTAAGTAGAAATTAGACAGTGAAATTCTATGTCATTCTATCTATTTTCTAATCTCTCTAATTATATCATTAAGAATAAAATATATTTTTATGACTTCAATTATCCTTATGCTCCATTTTGTATGATGGAAAAATGAAAAAATAGAAAGTTGAAAGGATGAAAAGTTGGATAAATAAATAAAACATCATGTTTGATAAAGAAGAAAAATAGAAAAGATGAAAAAGTTGATGAATTAATTTTTCTTCCAACTTATCAAAACCAATCCCTCCAAAATCAGAAGGAAAGTGGATGGAAAGTTAATTATTTGTGTTGAGATATATCATATTTGTCTATATATCTTTTGATATATACATATATTATGTATACATTAATTTTATATAAAAATACAATGATAAAATATGTATATATATATATATATTTTTTTCTTTTTTTAAAAAATAAAATTTAAAAAATTAAATTAAAAAAAATATTTTTTTCATCTTAGTTAGGGGTGAAAATTTTCGACTCAATATGATGACACAACTCAAACTCGACACGAATTTTATGACACGAACTTAATTATAATTCGACATAAACTTGAAAATGACCTGACACGTGAATAAGATATATAAAAGGCTCATATTTAGTTCAATCCGTCAAACTCAAAATTAAAACCAACAACCTATTTATTTAAAAATAAACATTTTCTCTATTTTCTTGTTTGTATGATAATACAAAATTAACACAATACTAACATGTTTAATTAGTATTATAGACATAAAATGTTAATTATTTGTAACTATTTGTTAAACATTGACATAATTTTTATATAAAAAAGATATTTTTACTTATTATTATTATTATATTTATTTAAGTTAATTTTTAGTTTATAAAAAAAATATTAACATGGATTCAATTAAGTGAAAATAGAATATTATAATTAAATCTTTTATTCAAAATTTATGTAGGTCAACACGAATACAAACACAACATAAAAATAAATAGGTCAACTCGCAAACTCGACACGACACAATTAGTTAAATGAGTTGAGTTAAGTTTGATTAATGTTCGACATAAACTCATAGTGACTCAACACGAATCTAACACAACATCACTCGATTGACACCCCTAATATTAACCAGCACAAAAAAAAAATTTAGTCATTTTTATTTTCTATCCACCCTACCGAATACAAAAGAAGGAAAATGTATCATTCGTATTTTACTTCCTTAAATGATAGAAGTTTATCCTTTCTAATTTTCATCTTTCCTACGAAGCATTAATGACCCCAAAACATCATGTTTGGTAAGCCAATGACCGACTTGTGTCAATTAACAAATACTATTGCAATTGTAATTATTTTTGATCAAACAATTGTAATTATTTTAGTAAAATCATATTCACTGTCACATTTATTATTAGATCACACAACGAAATTAAAATCTTTTATAAAAAAAAAATTCGTAACAGTATTAACAAAAAGAATTTGGACAGCCCATGAATATTAGTCATGTGATTAAAACTAATCATACTAATAGCATGTGACTAAATTGGATAAAAATGTAATGCATCTCATTTGTTGAAGATACAAATACAATCAAGATTGAGCAGGCTTGCGAATTCAAGAGACGTTTACTCGTTGTCTTAAAAATTGCTAAGGCTCCCGGTACTAGGATAGTGACAAACATCAACGAATCGAAAATCCAACCCAAATGTTTGTAGAATACCTTTTTAATGACCAAACTCACTAAAAATAGTGGGGACTTTGATTCAAAATGAAGTTGTTTAAAATAATCATATTATGAATTCTTAAGTATCGAAAAAAAAAACCTAGGGTTGTCAATAGGTTTGAATTGCTTCGTGTTTTTAAATCGTGTAAACTCTATCGGTTTAAAATTTGTTTAACTAAAACTTGACCTTTTTTATAGGTATATAAAATCGAATTCTAATCCAACATTTATTTGAATGGTCTTATGCGTTCACTCGGTTATCAACTAAACTTTTCAAGATCAAACCCAAACCTAGTAAAAGTTGTTCGATACAACTTAGAACAATGACAAGATTTTTCAAAAGACAGAAAATTATTCGGGCACAAGAACATTGTAAGATGCCCAACCAATCTGTCCAAGGCAGCCGAACGCACAAACAAATGTTGCAGGAGTTTTAAAAACTTACAACCATCAATGTGAAACAAAAAGAAAATGGAATGTAGGAGATGTCGAAACACTCTCTTGTTCCGGCATAGGATATTCCATGCACCCGATTCGGCCACTAAAACAACGGTAGAATCATTAGACATGACAAGCATCAAATCAAACCAAAGGAAGACGGATACGGCTACGATACCGTTGGCGTTGCAATTCATTTGGATGAAACTATTTTTTAATACGATCAGTTGGTCTCAATAATCCATTTGATAGTAACTTTTTATTTTCAGATAATTTCAATACCATATCAAAAAAAGTAAGTTGGAAATACTGTAGTTAGACCCAAAGAAGACAAAGCCAGGGATGGCCAAACCTTGTTTTGTACAGGTACAGGATATTCCATTCAACCTATAGTGTGTACTATGCATGAACTAGGTTTGCTTGAATACGAAAAGTTTATATTCGGCATCCACCAACACCTCATTAGGTCAACTATACTCGAGATTCATCAGTATCTTTTCTTAGTATTGTAACACAATCAATACAATTACCATCCAATAACATTTGAAAACTATTCCGAATAGAATGCAGGATAGAACATTTATAAAAGATAAGAATAAATCAGTTCTTGTATCCGTCAGATAGCCAAATAGGCTAAGGCCTGGTTGGTTAGGATTAATCGATGTTTTTAAAGTTGATGAACTGTCAAATTTGGACAAAACCCTGCAATTACTTTGTATAAAGACACCCATGTTGCCTACAAAAGGAGGTGAACTCCTGCAGAATCACACCACCTTAACAAAATGTCAAGTTCTTTGCAAATGATACAGCAACTAGTAAATTCATTGTCTTCACAGCCCCTCGTGTTCTCCATTCTATCAATATTTCTGTTATACTTCCTCATCAATTGGCTTTTCACCAACCCAAGTACTAAAATCAACCTACCACCTTCTCCACCAAAGCTCCCAATTATAGGACACTTGCACAAACTTGGCTTATACCCCCACCTCTCACTCCAAACTTTGGCTCAAAAACATGGACCACTCATGCGACTGCAACTTGGCAGTAAGCAGACCCTCGTTGTATCATCCGCTGATGCAGCTATCGAGATCATGAAAACACATGATCTCATCTTTGCCAATAGACCCAAATCGCATGTAAACAAGAAACTTCTTTATGATTTTAAGGACTTGTCAGTGGCGCCTTATGGCGAGTACTGGAGGCAGTTGAAAAGCATTTGTATGCTAAATCTTCTAGGTGCTAAGAAGGTTCAATCTATTCGCGCGGTGAGAGAAGAAGAAACAGCCCTTTTAGTCAAGAAGATCACTGAGGAGTCTTCTTCTTCTTCGTCTGGAGAAGTGGATTTGAGCGTAATGTTTATGACACTCACGAATGATGTGATATGCAGGACCGCTTTTGGGAAGAAATACAGTGGAGGAGAAAGTGGGAGGAAGTTCAGGAAGATGATAAGCGAGTTTGTGGGGGTGTTGGGTGGATTTGATGTTGGAACCTTCATACCAAGGCTTGCATGGGTTAATCATATCACTGGTTTTAATGCCAAAGTTGACAGAATTGCCAAAGAGTTGGATGATTTTCTTGAAGGAGTAGTTGAAGAGCATTCGGATCCCCATAAAAGAGGGAGTAACCATGGGGAGAGAATTGAAGGGGAAGGCAGAGACGACTTTGTTGATGTTTTGCTTGGTATTTATAAGAATAATAAAGGCGCAGCTGGCTTTTCCCTCGATAGAGATAGCATCAAAGCTCTCATCTTGGTGAGTCTCTCTCTGTCTCTATGTACAGAAATATTCATGTTACACTCTTTCCAACAACTTAATTTTTAAGATAAGTTGGTGGCTTAACACTATCCTCATTCAAACCTCTTATGAAAGTCCAAATTATTGACTTTTTCAAGTACTTTGTGTATTTGTTTGTTTGTTCCAGGACATCTATTCTGGTGGAACTGATACCAACTACACTGTCCTAGAATGGGCAATGACAGAGCTTCTAACACACCCTAGAGTCATGAAGGAAGTGCAAAAAGAGGTGAGGGGAATAGTCAAAGACAAACCTGACATAACTGAGGAAGACTTGGAGAAGATGCACTACTTGAAAGCAGTGATCAAAGAAACTCTGCGACTACATCCTCCAGTCCCGCTACTACTTCCACGAGAAGCTAGCAAAGATGTCAAAGCTATGGGGTATGATATTGCAGCCGGAACCATGGTCATAGTTAATGCTTGGACAATCGCAAGAGACCCTGCGTGGTGGGATGAGCCAGAGGAGTTCAAGCCGGGGAGGTTCGTGAATTCTCCAATAGACTTCAGAGGGCATGACTTCCAGTTGATTCCGTTTGGAGCAGGCCGGAGGGGCTGCCCGGGAATCTCTTTTGCAATGGCCACCATTGAGCTTGTTCTAGCAAATCTTATGCACAAATTTGATTGGGGCGTGCCGAATGGAGCAAAGGGGAAGGATCTATACAATACTGAATGCACTGGCGGCCTAACAATCCATAGGAAAATTCCTCTAGTTGCTGTGGCAACTCCATTTTCTTGCTAGTCTGATGATTTCCTACTCCTACCTGTTGAAAACGTGCCAGAATCGGAAACTCATATAGTTCAAAATAAGCTACTCATCCATCCTGGACATTGGACTTAGGTCAACAAATGAGTTCTAAGTAGCATTGTTGTTGTCATTTTCAACCGCGCCAATAATCTCCTTTTTTTTTTAAATCCTATAAGGAATTGGTTTGCTATGCAGATGGATTGGGTTGAAGCCATCACCGGTTAATCGGGAAGTATTACCATTTACCACCTGACCTTCATGGCTTGGTTAGTGCATGCTTTGCACGTGAACTATTTTGCATATCAAAATTATTCTTAAGAAAAATTCTACTAAACAAAATTAACTTATGTATTAGACAATCTCCAATAAACTCTTTATTGTCATTCAATTTTCTATTTTTGAGAATCAACTATTAAAATTTTATCTTCAATAAACTCTTTATTTAGATTCTTTAAAATAAAAAGTCAAATTTAGCTCTCCACATCGGGAGAGTCAAACAAACTCTCTACTCTATATTTTTTTGAACATAAAAAGGGTATATTTATCTTTTTATCTAAAATAATTAAGTTAAAATATATCTCAAAGCTAAAAACGAGAAAAAAAACAAAAGAAAGTCAAATTTATTCCTAAGGACAAAGCATAAAACAATAAATTGGTAAAAATAAAAGTCCTATTGTACTGGTATATAAAATTTAAATGTCTATTTTAATTTATTGTCAAAGATGCTCTTTATTCTAAAAAAAATGCTTTCTATTTTAGAGTGCACTATTGGGGGTACTCTTATAATCCTCAAATAGCTCATCGAATAGGTATACAATTAGATTAATATATTCAATACCAGTCGATTGTTGTATTGTAAAGCAATACCATTCCACTCTCCACAGTGAAAATAGTGTATTAAAGAACAACTTCAAACATACAATTTTAGATACAACCACTTTAGATTGTGCATACATTATTAGGATTTTTTATTTAAAGAAACTATCCAATGAGTATCTTGACTTTCTAAGTTTTTTTCAAGTTTTGGACTAAACTCTTTAGTGGGTGCGACTAAACCAATTATTCTTACCACTAAGTAAGGTGGTCTAGTGGGGTACCGGCCTTACTCCTCCCTTTGAGTTTAAAAGTTTGAGTCTCGGAGTTTCTATTGGGACTTGGTAGTTGACCGTTATACTAGTGTAGTTAGGTCTGCTTTCGAGAAATGTTTCAGATGTGATCAGTGGCCTTATGATTCCACCGATAAGGACCTATCGGGGTGGTCGTTGAACGCTCTTCTTTGCCCCACTCTTTTTTTTTCAATAGCAAAAAAAAATAAACCCAATTATTCTTCATATTGGATTGTAGGCGAGAGTGTAATCTAGCAACAGATTAGTGCCATCCAATTAGTAATCCAGTTAGGGTTACTTTAGCAAATTCTAATATCATTTATTGGTTTGGGTGTATGCGCAAAAAGTGGTCATTGTCACAGCTGATCCCAAAAAAATAGAAAAAAAAAAACCTCTGATCCAAAGTTACTTCACCAAAAGACACCTCTAATTTGATAATTATCCTGACCATTGCAAGAAAAAGAAATCTTACCTAAAAAAGTAAACCATGTTTTGATATTTCCAAGTAAACCTCCTTTCTTTAATTTTTTTTTTTCTCTGCAAGTAAACCATTTCATTATTAAAAAAGTATTGTACACTATATGTTTTGATATTTACAAGTAATTACATCCAAAATAAACAAAAAGAAATTTGTGGGATGGGATGGCAAATCATCTACTCCTACATGAGTCATAGACAACTATATCAAACCCAGTGATAGCACAAAAGGGGTATGATATTCCACAACAACAATTAAGCAGCAAGCAAAAAAAAAAAAAACTTGATGCACAAATACGTATTAAAAACGCGTAACACTCTAAGACGCTCCCTTATAATTTTTTTTGCAATGCGGGCTAATATGAACCCAATATGACTTATGTAAAACCTCATGAATATATGTAGTATCAAGCGGGGGAGAAGCATCCCTCAAGGTATTTGGCAGTGCACTTTCTAATGATTTAATGATTAACCATGGTTTTTTATTATCAAGTTTAAATTGAACTTCATATAAGTTGATAGAAGACACAAACCTGCCGATCAACCCTTTCATAAGAATCACAGTGATTGGTAGGAATCAACATACTTTGGACCAGAAGTTTGCTACACATGCTACCCGATCATCAAACTACAACTCAAATACCTAAATGATATTTAACCAAAAAATTTGTCAGAATAAACATTGGCTGATGGGATTCTTACTTCTTGTACATCTTTCATAATTTTTCACTTGAATTCCACTAATTCTTTAAGGCTATGATGGGATTCTTACTTCTTCTCTGTCACTAATATGATCTGATTCCCAGGTAAACTTATCCTAGCCACGAGGTCTTTCAAATTTGACATATAAATGTCCTTTGAATATCAAAGCGGGAACAAGGAACTGTGAAACAAAGATAGCAACTTCAGAAATATTCCTCTTCTTCCAGCCGAGTACATAGAAGATGTGCACCCCATTGTTCTTGCACGAGACTCTTTTTTGAATATAAATTCCTACACCTATCTCGATCGCAAAATTTTATATATTAGTCCAAATTGAATAATTATAATATCGGGCACTCACAATTATAAACCCAAAAAGAACCTAATGCATAACTGAAGCATTGTCATGTATCTGAAAAGCTAAAGAATATAGAGAAGGGGAACATTTGGTCAAAATTGATGAGAACTCAAATATTGATGGAATAATATGTACACTTAAGTGAAAAAATTTTAACTTCATCACGAACACTAATAAAATATAAATATTTGTGTTTGTCGACGTATATAGATATGCATGATTAAGAGTAAATAAGTTCAACTTGGAAACACTTTCGGGTTCTTGACAGGAGAAATGAACAATAGGTTTGTGAAGTTGGATCACAAACATTGATGTGAACTTTCAGGATCCAAAACAACAAATAAGGAGATTCATTTTTCATTTCTTCCCCGGCAACCGATAGAATAGTAGGGAAAATTTTTGAATTTTCAGATAGAATATTCATAAAACTTTTCATTCATCAAAATGTTCATTCGCTGTCTGTGAACAATTAATTAGGCCATGAAAGATGAAATGGTTGGAGTTCTAAAGGGTAACAGATATATTCGATGTGCACAGACCGTATGGTGGAATGTTTACTTACCAATTATAAATATTTTTCGCCAGCTATAAATGTAACCTAGTTTAAAAGCACCTAGTTTCATATTCTCCATTCAATCACCGAGACCACGTATTGATGTAGAAGTTTACAAGCTCTCTTTGTCATTGTGATTGAATGGAGAATATGAAAAGTTTAATTTAATGATGTCATTATGTATTTTTAAAGATTATTATTGACGACTACATGTTCTTTTCACCTTTTAATATATGATAAAAAAAAGTCTTAATACTATTGTTTTGGGGTAAAAAATAATATTTTTCAAATTTGTTGACATTTTAAAATAGTATAGATATGCAAAAGCGTAATGCTATATAACCTAAATAAAACTCAAAAAATTACCACCAAAATGAAAAAATTTCTTGCCGTGGGACGAGATAAGCATTTGACATGAGCTAAGCATCAAACCAAATGGGTAATCAAACGAAATAATGCAATCCATTGGTAAGGCTCATTTCTTGCCTGGGAATGAGCATCAAACCAAATGGGTAATCAAAATAATGCAATCCATTGGTAAGGCAAATGGGACGAGATAAGCATTTGACATGAGACAATTCTCAAGCTGTAAGTCAGACACTGATTCAACAACACAATACCAGCACATGATCATAAAGAAGGCAACAATCAACGGTGTCTATATAGTGATAACCAAGATATATACACAATCTACAAAAGAGGCATCGACACTGCTAATCTACAATAGAAACATATCATCAAACAAACTTGTATAGCTAACCAATGATCCAAATATTAAACCAACACCAGTTTGACCCCTGGAGGTAGTCTTGTTTCCAGCTCCCTGGCATGCTCTCTTGCCGCTTCATTTCCCTCTCTCATCACTGTATAAGCAATTCTCCCGACATGTAGTATATGTCCAGGGGTCAATAATTATTATTTTAAAAGTGACTCAGCATTCTCAGCCAAGGACACAGCAAGCTCAAAATCTGCTTCTTACCCACAAAATCTATAAGACATAAAATCCAAGAGTCCTCAGATATTAAGCAGGCAAAGCAAAAGGGCATTCCTTTATTCTAAATCTTTGCAAGCATGGACATGCCT